AAAAGAGGCAGAGATAAGAAGACAGACAAGGAGAAGAGGAAGCGCACAGCAGAAAGGGTGACTGAAACTTTGAAGTAGGGTGTTGTTTATCCTGCTGTCTTTCTCCAAGTGCAATGTCTTGTTTTTTGTGCTTTTTCTGTTTATGTCAGCATGTATGCAAGTAGACAGGTAGTTTGCAAATATGGAAGTTGCCAGTACAGTATCAATTATGAACAGGCAACAAGACAACAACAACAAAAAAAAAAAAACTGCAGACATGCACACATCAAAAATACTTTAAAGGGTGATTCGATTCATTGATTTGCAAACATTCCCATCCGCAGTCGTACACACATTATCTGCAGCAGCTGGCTATTTCTTGACATCCTTTGTTTTGTGTTTTAACAAAACTGCAAATTGTTCATATATCATTTTTAGGTGAATTCACTAGTAAAATACATTTAACTTTATCTCGCAAATAAAGTTAAATGTGGTGTAAACCTTGGCAGGACAGACAGGCTGTTGTACCATTTGATAGCTGAACTCCAACTGCTGATGTGTTTTCAGTAATATTTTAATTCAATTGCAAATACACTAGCCGTTTCTCTCCCTGTAAGCATTATAGGTAAAAACCAACACTGTGGTGCCCTCTAGTGGTCACTACTTTTTGTACCTGATCATGAAGTCATGCAGTTCCAAATCAACCTGCTCCAAAATAGGCATCAGATAGTTTAAAATGTGTTTGGTGCTGTCCATGGTAGGATCCATGAAGTCCCTGCACAGAGAGAAGACTTGCAGAAGTTGGAAAAACATTTTAACTATACATAAAAGTATGAGAATCAGCAGGAAATAAAATATCCAACCTGAGGTGATAATTAGACAGTGTGTCCAACAAGGCGATGGCCATTCGTTCCCCAACTACCAGCAGCAGAGTGACGGCCACATCATGGTAGCCTTGGTAGTAGTGCAGCTGAGTGTTACGCTTCAAAACCTCCAGTATGATGTCGATGAGCTGCTCCTGAAGCACTGCTCTCTCCGTGGCTGGCATACCTGCAGAAGAGCAAATGAGCAGTGCATTTATGTAATCCAAAAAGTGACACTAGAAAGTGTTTATTATTGGATTATTAGAGTTCAGAATACAGAATCCAGTGTTTTCTATGGGCCTCATTCTGCTATGTTGCAAGATTTTAACTCATTCACTGCCATTGACGTCTATAGCCGTCAATTGCAGTGAATGAGTCAATGGGTTTAACTCATTCACTGCCAATGGCTGGCAGTGAATGAGTTAAAGGCAAACGTGCTTGCTGACTCTGTAAACAACAGTAGTGCTGTTGAATTTAAAATACAACAACACTCTCAGCTCAAAAAAGTGAGAACTCCTCCTGTGAAGATTAAACTTGGTTTATAAATTACTCACAAGATAACTCTATGTTGCTGTAAGGTCAGGGTTACAGTTTAACAAATGGCACATTGCGCTATGCTGCTATCTTTAGAGATAAAACACACCCACCCACCCACACACACCTTTCGGAAAACGCTTCATCGACCTCCTGACATCAAGGACTACTTGGTTGTAGTCTTTGTGGTTCTCCCTCACATCTCGACCTAAAACAAAAGAAATATTTCCCTTATTGTTGCTAGCATTGTTTGCACTAGGAGCACTTAATTTATTACTTATTTATGCAGTTCATCAAACACTAACCACGCATTAAGTTAAGTGTATACTAACCAGGTTTATGTGGTAGCTCATAGACATTTATGTTCAGTAGTTTGGGCCATACTTTTCTCCTTAGCTCATCAGTGAGCAGTCCTCCTTTACTGACTGCCGCTCTCCTCAAGGTCTCAATGTCCACTGGATCACTGTTCATTCAAAAGCCAAAATTAGACAATTTTTATATTACTTACAGTCTGCTCATAGTATCTAAAATTTGTACCTTTGTACCAGTTAGAAACTCCTACCTCTGATTTAAATAAACTAAGAAAACAGCTAATGCATTTTTTGTAGAATTAAAAAATTACTATGTTCAACAGGTCAGCACTATTTATATGTTAATTTAATTTAAATTACTCTCACAGGCTGAAATTTAATTGGAGTCATTTTAAGTAGTTTAATAAAAATTCTTTTAAAAATTACTGCCTGAAGTCTAGAACACATGTGCATGACCAAATATGACTTGGTCATTGAAGAGAATCCCCCCAAAATAATAATAATTCTCTCTTGAGCTGTTTTTGCAGTACCCTTTTGGAATTCCCACCGCTGTCCAATCAGTTTTGCAGAATTTGGCTGAATCTGAGTAGAATGAACCCTGCTGCTTCAATCAAGAGTCTCATCACTATAGACTAGTGCTCCGCGTTCACTGGCAGCCATACATGCCCATACCATAACATAGTAAACACTGTGTTTGACAGATAATGTGGATCATGAGTGGTTTTCTACTTCTCCATACTTAACTCCCCATCATTCTGGCACTAGTTAATCTTATTTTCATCTTTTTTCCAGAACTGTTGCTACTCTTTTAGATGTTCTCTAGAAAAGTCTAATACAATTCTTGAATGAACCAGTAGTTTGGACCTTATTGTAAACCCTCTGCATTTCCATTCATGAAGGTGTCTTTTGATTGAAGACCTTAAGAATGAAACACCTACTTCACAAAGAGAGTGTTCTTGATTTGGCAAGATCTTGTTTTGGCATCATCTTCCCAAGTGAATTCACTGGCTAGTGATGAACCACATGATTTTGATCACTCCTAAAGTTCCTGTGTTCGCTCTCTGATAGGTTTATTTGGGGATTATTCAGACTAATGATGGCCCCTGTCACTTTCATCAACATCAATTTTGGACTTCTAAATTAAATTCAGATGAACAGCTCCTGACTGAACACCTCAATTTAACTCCAGATATTTTATCTGTGTAATTTGTCATGAATTAATGAGGGAGCAGGCTTTGCCTGGCCATGAAAGTGCTAATCAGTCAATTGTCCAATTACTTCTGAGCTGCTGAAAATGAGGGACTAGCTATAAAAACTGCTATAATTTTCAAACAGTTAATGCAATATCTTTGTGAAACCCCTTGAATTACAGCTTAAAGTCAGCACTTCAATCACATCTTGATTGTTTTATTTCAGTTTTAAATTTGAAATTCACTGGGGTGATGTACAGAGGCAACATTAGAAAAAAAAAATGTATCACTACCCAAAAACGTGTGGACTTAACTGTATAGCACATTTTAGGACACAGTTTAAAGGTCCTTATGATTACATCATAATATTCCTGAACACACCAGAGTAATCACCACATGTGCGTATAAAAGTTATTGTCTGTTGATAAATTTGTGCCATCTAATTGTGAAATAGTGTATTGGATAAGAAGGTAGAGGGGATTTCTCCAGTGGAAATATGCCTTATGCCCTGGAGTTGTAGAACTATCTGAGGTATTTATTACCATAGAAAATATTGAAAAAAAAAGATCCACTTTTTAGGCTTCTAAAATGATGAAGAAGATTGTCAGGCTTTTCATGTTCGCTGAAGCAACTATTTTCCTGTTTTATTTCACTCCTAGAACATAATACACAAATCTGGATGTCCCATGACTGGCAGCACATAGCTCAAGAGTGTAAAATTGCTCTTCATCTGCTTAAATTCGCATGTCCAGTTTTTGTGGAGTAAGCACACTCAAGAGACACACTGTGATATTAACCTGATCAAAGCCTGATGGATCTCAGCCAGCTTCTGCTTCCTCCCACAACCTGGCTCTGTAACAAACAGGCAGAGATGGAGGTGTAAGAAAACAAAGTAAATGCGAGTGGTATGGATGAAGCAGAGTTGTGTGAGAGCGTCCACACAGAGAGAAGAAAGTTAGGGGGGAAGAAAAATGGATAAGGACAGAGACTTGAGGATCACGTTTAAAATCACACTATTATGGCTTTGAAGGCAAACCCAAAGATTTATACTTATTTTACTAACCTGCACAGACAAACCAGGTGTTTCTTCATTCATTTCATACTAAAAGACATTGCCTTTTTTCAAAAGTCATTTACGCAAGCAAAGCCATTAGGATCAATGATCATAAAGTTATCTAAATGCTATGCTTTAGATTGCAGCCAGTGTGAGTTAAACGCAAAACAAGTATCAGCTTTGCTGGATCGCTGACCAAAAGCACCTTTTCCGTCTCCTCCCTGCCAGACTGTCAGCTGTAAATTTCCAAGCAGCCCAGTCTGCCTGACAGGCTGCCACGCAAGCAGCTAAAGTTTGCCCTCTTGTAAACAAAGCAGCACATTTTTAGTTGCTGTCACTTGACTGCAGTAATATTAGATTAAATTAGAATTAGCTACATAGTCTAGTCTGGTCTAGTTTTGCTTGCCTGCACGTACAGATGTTATCGAAGCAGCCATCGTAATAAAACGGTATAACTTTAAAATAAGACGTCTTAAGCGACTGAATGTAGTATCTCTTCTTCAAAAACAAAGTCTGTTAGCTGTCATCGCGTACCTCTTGTGAAAGATCCATTCCCATTCACCACAACTCCGCCGTTCTGTTTCTTCCTCTTGAGTCTTTTCATTCCCTCTAAAAGCAGACAACGGAATCTCCGAGTTTACACCGTAACATATGTGAGTTAAAGAATTAAAAATATGTATGTAAACAGGTGAAAAAACACTGAAAATACCTGTCCCAGCGACGAAGCTTCCCTCAACAGCTGTCGCTACTTAACTCAACCGAGCGAGCGTTCTCAGCTACAATGCAATTGGTCAGAAATACCACGTGACCAAAAGGACGTATACTATTGGTTTTCCTTTCACTCGCACTGCAACCTGACTTGATCACAGATTTGTAGTCCATACATGTGAGTGACACAGGCAATTATACTTTGTATAATAAATGTTGAGACAGAAATGTTCTTATGCAGTAACTTTTTTTATAAGGAAAAAAGTGAGTGTTTGTATCGTAATTGCAAATAACAAAGAAAAAACGGACAGGACACTGTGATTGCTTTATTTTTATTTTTTTCTTTACGAACGGGGGATGTTAGCTGAAAATACAGAACTGGCAACCCTTTCTGACAAATGCACCTTGAGCCGTCGTAATGAACCGCCCCTCTCATTACCAGCGCTCACAGTGCAGGAGGAAGAACATCCCGCTGCTGTTTGTTCAGCTCCTGTTGTGAAGTTACTGAGGGACAAACGAGCGGCGGGCAGTTTGACCAACAATGTCGAGCAGGTAGAAACAGCGTGACTGAAGCCGCGGAAATGAGCGAAACAGCCGAGACGAGAGGGCCCGTAACCCGCCGGAGGAGGACCACCAGCACCAGCACCAAGCAAACCAAGAGGCAAGACGCAGGGGAGAAACCTCCACCGTGTTCCGCTAAAGAAAAAGCCGCAGACAAGGTCCAGAAGCATGCGAACAATAACGGCAATGTGGAGAAAGAAATGGGGAAGTCAACACAGCAGCAGCAGCTCGCAAACAGTCCGAAGAAACAGAGGAGTGCGGTAGAAGATATCAACGAAAAGCTCAGGTAACCTTTGACGTTAACGTTCCAGCATTACGTACAGACGTTAACGGTAAATTGTTAGCAGAGGGGTACATCTCATACTCCTCCTCCCCTTTTCATTCATGTGTAATTTAGCCAGAGTCGTTGTTCTTCCTCCATTGTTTCCAGTAGCTTAATTGCCGTTTCATGACTGGTACTTATTTCTTACAAAGCTGTTCTTGAGCTAGTGGGCATTTTAAAATAAAAAAAAGTTGCAGAAACCCAAAAGTTGCACTTAATCTTAACATTTCCATAAGCTTTAAATGCCTCCTTTTGAGTTGCCTTCGTTCATCCCCTGTTTTTTTTCTGCATTTTCTACATTTCTTTAATAGCCTTGCATGAATGCAATCTGTGAGAGTCTGCCACAGGCCTGGGGAGCTTTTTTATTTCCAGCTTTATAAACAAACTGACATAACTTTCATTGCTTGCTTTTTTATTAGCTGGAGTTTGCTCTTTTGCCAGGCCAATAATAAATAATTTAAGAAAATAGTCAGCAGATCGATGGAGAGTTTGTCTCAGATGTCTCTAATTTTGAAGCAATATAAAAATGAATAGTAGTAACAGACTTCTTTGGCAGGACACTCACTCACTTGTTGAACAGAGGGTGGCTTTGAGTTTGTATACAGGGTGTGTCAGGAGAACAGGTAGGGTATGACCGACCTTGCTGCAAACAATAGCCCGTGCTTCACCCTATGGGCACCACACCAGCTTCTCAGATCTGCCTACCTATTTAAAGCATGCATTTCTTTAGGTTGAAGCCATGCCTTCTTGATTACCCCATGGAATTTCTACATCCTTGTAATTGGTGTGAAGGCCAGGGTCCTAATACGGCACTTTAATACCCAGTAAAAGGAAGGTGATTTTAATTTGTGATTCCTTTTTATTTTAATTGGATCCCAGCCAGCTGACGTAGGCAAGTGATGTGTTCTTGTGACACATGCTTTGGCGATAGCATGTCTACTGTTTGCATGCATTTCTGCACATTTCTCATGCTGGCACTATGTTAAAAACCACTTTGGTTTTTCCTCCTTTATTTTTCCATCCTCTTGCCCTCTCTACAGTTTTCCTAACTCGCTGTTATTGCTCAATCTCCTCACCTCTTAACCATTTTCCTCTGACCAGTCTTCTCCTCCTCTGTCCTCGTTCACCCTTTATCACCTATGGCTGTGTAAAAGTTCCTTTATGGTTTCTTGATGAACAGCTTCAGTTTTCTAAAGCATAGATTGGGGGCAGTGCTATGTAAACCTTTTAACTGCAGTGTGTGATTCATCCACGTAAAAGCTGGTATAGAAATTAAATAATTTTCCTCTGATCCCAACTTGAAGTTGATATTAACTTTAATGTCAGATTATACCACATTGTTGTTAAGTGCATTACCACCCAGAAAGTGGTAATCGGTCCATCAAGAAAAATAAGCTAAGTAAGGGAAGTTCAGCATAGCTGGTCCTCAACATGAAGTCACACGTGTGTCATTTTTGAAGGATTTCTCAATGTGTTAATCATAAATGACTCACTCTGAGTTATCGGTGCTTTGTAAGAGTTGTAAAATCAATCCTGTTGCCCTAACTAGATTCCCCCCCTTAGCTTGTGGAGACAGTGAGACAGGAAAGAGTGCTAATCATTTGATTACCGTCTAAAATTTAATGGTGAACGACTGTGTGTTTTTCTACAGGTGTCACAATCTACAGGAGTCTCTCTTGAGCTCAGCCAGCGGCTACAGCAACTACAGAGGAATCCTCAACTGGTGTGTTGTCATGCTGGTGAGTTAAACCTCATTACATGTCCACGCAGAAATAAAAATGTATGCCACCGTTGCTTCGAAAACTGTAACATTTAGAAAGTTAGACCCCTCATTCACCTAAATCTTACTTGTCTGGACAAGGCTCATGCAAGAAATCTCAAAGAATTACTCTCTAATCTCAACAGCTCATGTATGGTTATTCTTATTCTTTGCCACTTCTCTCACTCACTCACTCACTCACTCACTCACTCACTCACTCACTCACTCACTCAGCCACTCACCCACCCACCCAAAGTGTATAAAACTCCAAACTACTGCAGCAAAACAAAAGTTCCAGCCCACACAAAGTACACATCCCTCTGGGCTTCCTGTTAGACCTGTTGTTACATTGACTTTTTGTGACACATTAACTTGTTGTGACACATTAACTTGTTGTGTTGTCTGCAGGAACGCTGATAAATCGACTTTTGTGTTATCTCTCATAACACTTGCAGATTAGCCACATAAGTACTTTTTTCTTTTTCTTTTTTCTTTTGGTTTTGCTCTGGCCTGGGTTGCCATTTCTTGTAGATATTTCTATATTTTTGATAAGAGGCGTGTTTGTAAGCTACAGTTTAATCTCAGTGAGCTTGTTTGAACTTTCTCATCAAAAGTGAACTTTGTTAGGTGGGCTTATATTACGCGAGGGTCTTTAATTTGCTGCCAAATTGTTTTCCTTTTATTAGTGATTTAGGACAGCGTGGCATCGCAGTGGTTAACACTCTCTCCTCACAGTAAAAGGGTCCTGTCTTTTAAGTTTTTATTTGAGTTTTGTATATTGGGCAAAAAAAATAAATGAGCATCACGCAAAACATGCAACAAAAAAACAAGAGGTTGTGGGATTAGAATCACAGTAAAACAGAAAAAAAGAGGACTTCTTTCTCCTCATATAATGGCAGTGAATCTCTTTCAATGGTTAAATGGCACTGTTCCTCCTATCTTGTCTCTCCTATTTCATTTTGGAGTCTTATTGAGTAGGTCATCTGCTCCAAGGTATGTAGATTTTTTTTTTTTAACAGTATTAGTAAACAAAAAAATTTTTTTTTTTTTTTTTTTTTTTTTTTTTTTTTTTTGTGCTAACTGTCCGTAGGACCTTTCAGACGGCGTTTATCTTTTAATTCATGTGGGGAAAGCTGCAAAATAACATAAATAAATAAATTAGAACTCTGGAGATCATTCGTGATGATTCTTTCCAAAAAGATTGACTCAAAATGCTTCAGCTCTAACTTTGATCTAACTGGACCCATATCTAATATTGTGGTGATTTCTTTACTGTAAATTTTTAGTGAGCCAACATCCTTAACAGTTATCAGTTCTATGAAAAACTCAATTTTCTAGCTGTAGCAGGGACATTTTTATTAGTAATGACAAAGAAATTCCTTCATTCACAATAGCTCACAATGCTTGCTAGTATTGTTATTGTTAATGCTAGCTAGTTATTTGAAAGTAACATTTGCTGGAGCTACTTTTAAAATAATTCAAATGGTTTGCTACAGTGTATGCAAAGACTAACCATTGTGGCTGCTATACTTTGTAGTGCTACTAACATTAATAACTAAATTGGCCAACCTGGCTTTCATACAGCAAGATACTTCTGTTGAAGTTGGCTGAATGCAGGCATTTTAGTTAAATATGTCATGTCCCTCTGTGTTGAGGAGACTTCAGGACTGTTAACCTCATTTAGAAACAAGAGCTTCTGCCTCAGTCCAGTGAGGGAAGTATGGGTGTCTGTCTCCAGAGACAGCCTGCAGTGCCCCAGAGAATCCTGTCAGTTTTAGCCTTATATTAGACATCTAGATTTAGAAATATCCAGTTAGCTGTAATCCACATGAAAGGGAATTTGACTCTAAGTGTGTGTGTGTGTGTGTATGTGTGTGTGCTTTGCATATCTGTGTGTAGATGTACTTGCATGATTGCTCTGTCTGGATGTATCTATGCAGATTTCTGTATGTGTGTGTGTGTGTGTGTGTGTGTGTGTGGGTGGTTCTATGACGGGTTTATTCCCGTTTTTGAAGGTTTAGATTGCCGCTCAGCACATCTTTCACTTTGTGGTCACCACATACCCAACGGGGATGGTGTTCACTTTAGACATTTTTCAGAGGATGCTTTAGGATCAGGCTGTAAAAATGTAAAGTGGACCCCCAGAGCCTTGAATGTGTGTATATTTAGGAGTTCAGTAAGTTGTGTACTCGGTCCTCGATAACAAGGACCATCAGATAAATTCCTAAAATGTCAGCTGTAGAAGTGCATGCTTCTAGAGATGGGAATATAGATGTATTTTGTGCCCGCCATGATTTTTTTTTTTTTTTTTTTGTAAGATTTAACACAAAATAACAGGGAAAAACTAAGTTTTTAAGAAAATAGCCCAAAATACTAGTAAGAAATTCTTCTTGTGAGAGAAAACTCAATATTCTTGGTACTCCATCCTCTGCATTGCTGGCAGGATAAAATACTTCTCATGTTGTGTAATTACTGAGCTGTCATCATCTAGTATCTGAACCCTGGGAACAAAGTCTACATGGGATTTTGAGACTTTTAGAATACCTTTTGTTTATATTTGTCCTCAGCACCTGCATAGATTATTTGTTACCATTTGATTTGTGATCTGATGAAATTGATTCTGAGGTTCATGAAACATTTTTTTAAGCTTTGTTTTAGAATAGTCTTGTTTTCTGATTGTTACCTGAGCTGAGCCTGTTGGGCCTGAACACCTCCCTCTGCAACTGGATCCTGGACTTTCTGACCGGAAGGCCTCAGTCAGTACGGATCGGGAACTGCACCACCACACTGAGCACTGGGGCCCCACAAGGCTGTGTGCTCAGTCCTCTGCTGTTCATACTGCTGACTCATGACTGTGTAGCAACACACAGTTCAAGTCACATCATTAAGTTCGCTGATGACACGACCGTGGTGGGTCTCATTAGCAAGAACGACGAGTCAGCGTACAGAGAGGAAGTGCAGAGACTAACGGACTGGTGTAAAGACAACAACCTGTCTCTGAATGTTGACAAGACAAAAGAGATGGTTGTTGACTTTAGGAAGACACGAGGCGACCACTCACCGCTGAGCATCAACGGCTCCTCTGTGGAGATCGTCGACAGCACCAAATTCCTGGGCGTCCACCTGGAGAAGGACCTCGGCTGGTCCCTCAACACCAGCTCCCTGCACAAGAAAGCCCAACAGCGTCTCTTCTTTCTGAGAAGACTGAGAAAGGCTCTGCTTCCACCACCGATCCTGACCACCTTCTATAGAGGAACTATCGAGAGCATCCTGAGCGCTGCATCACTGTCTGGTTTGGGAACTGTGCCATATTGGACCGCAAGACCCTACAGCGGATAGTGGGAACAGCAGAGAAGATCATCGGGGTCTCTCTCCCCTCTATTGAGGACATCTACACCACACGATGCATTTGCAAAGCCACCAGCTTTGTGGCTGATCGGACACACCCCTCTCACACACTCTTCACACTCCTGCCATCTGGAAAAAGGTACCGAAGCATTCGGGCACACACATCCAGACTGCAACAGCAGCTTTTTTTTCCCACAAGCCATCCGTCTCCCCAGCAAAAAGGGACTGACTGATAAACACACACACACACACACACACACACACACACACACACACATTATCACTCAGCTTAACTCAACTACCTCAAAACATTGAGACTGGACTGACTAATCAACACAAGCGCAAACACACTGACCTACACCACCAAACCATCGTACACACCAACCTGTAAATGCTCTTTTGCACAATATTATTACTGGACTTTTTGCACTAACTTCTGCTGCTACACTAAGGAATGTTTACTGTTCCTCCACTACCTCAACTCATCATCACAAAACCTTATTATTATGTTACGTTGTGTTTTTCTATCATTCTGTCACTTTGCTGCTCTTGTTTGCACATTTGCACATGCACTTTGTCTGCTGTCTGATAACAAAAAAAAAAGTCTTCCTTAGATAGTTAGGTTTTTTTTGTTAATTTATGTTAGGTCAGTCTGTCTTGTCTCTGCTAGCCAGCTAACTAGGCCTCTTAGTTAGCTAGTTTAGTGTTTTCTGTTAATTTATGTTGTAAATTTATGTTGCATGTAGCACCTTGGTTCCTGGAGGAACGTTGTTTCGCCTCACTGTGTACTGTTAAACTGCATATGGTTGAAGTGACAATAAAGCCAACTTGACTTGACCTGATGAATCATGATCCATTTATAGAGACCTCTAAGAGAAGATTGCTCGTTCTGCTGCAGACCCATCTGCTTGGCAAATAGCTGCATACCAGATGTTGGTTTTAAGGTTTGGTTTTCCCTTCTCCAAAATCAGACCTGTTCATTTTCAATTGGAAAACTTCATTAGCTACTAACAAGGCACAGATGGCTGCGACCAGTTCTTCTTCATCTTTGTTATATGGTTTAAGACACAGTATTGAGCTTGTTGGTCATAGATGTGGGAAGAGTACCTGAGACTTGGAATGGTTCATTGCATTGTTCCAAGTGATTTGCAGACAAGTAAACCATGTAAATAGTTTATATGGCCACAGGCTGACAAGGACAGTGCACCGTGACGTAAAGCCTGTTTTAAGATTTGATCTTTGTTCTCACCTGTTTTCTCAGGGCATCTTTGCCAGAGGCCAGGTTCAGTGAACATCAGTGGCTTTTTTCATTGTTAAAATTACTATCCACCAGATCAGAGAGAGGGATGTTCATTTTGCATTATAGATTGTTCAAAGAAAGTACAAGTAGATAGAAGTAATATTTTGATTTAATAGTTCTATAGTGTAGTTTGATAGCTGTATATTATGTGACGAAAAAAATTTATTATTAATAGCATTTCATTTTCTAGAACATTACAAATGATAACATACACTATAGTAAAGTAGCTTTTAGACATATTAACCTTTTTCCTTCACCCTTCCCAGAGCGCAGAGATTTTGCCCCTGTACCCAGCCCTTACTGTTACTTCAGCCTCCCTAGAACCCTATGACCCTCTGATCCTATGACTTATAATATCCTGTGCTGAAAACTGACGTCCCATCAGTATTTTAATGGTGTGCATAGAAAGGGCAAACAGTAACAATGAAAAACACTGCAGTGGAAACAAGTAGGCCTTGTTTCCACTGCAGGAAAAAGGCAAATCTTTGAAAATCTTCAATGTTGCAATATTCTCTACAAAACGTTGCTACAGTAAATGTGTGACATGCTACAGTGGCCTCCTCTGTGCTGAAGGTTACTAAAGTAAAGGTTACTGGTTTGTACTACAGACAAAACCACATTGCTGCCGGGGTTTGGCAAGCTGGTGGGGATATTCACTGCAGCATGACCCCATTAAATGTCATACACCAAATGTCCTCATTATCTTAACTAGCTTAAGTGACTAATATAAAAATGAACTAGAACAGTAGAGATCCCATATATAATGTTGCTTCTTTAAATTGTGCAAAGTCTAGCGTTATCTTAGACTCTCTGATAGCCCCGATGGCTGAGATGAAGCTGGACTCTGAACTTAAATATACAATTTAATAATAAACTTGTTTTGCTCGACACTTTCTATCAGAGCGCACTTCAGCAGGGTGTCAATGTGAACAGCAGGAACATGTGGCTAAATTTAGCTGAGGATCTAATCTATTTATAACTCAGCATCTAACATTTTTATTTCTAATATCCTCCTCCTTAATAAATTCCAGCATAAGAATAAATGTGTTTTGTTTTGTTTGTTTGTTTTTTCATCAAATTTGAATAGCAACAGTTTCAATGTGTATAAACAAACGTTTACATTTGCACGTTGAAGATTCAGACAAGTGTTTTTGTTTTTGGGTTTTTTGGGGGGGTTTTTAACTTTGAAAACTTTGAAAAATATGCTTTGAAATATTTCTATAGTACGAGTCATGTTAATATTGTGTCCTGTTGCATCTTTCTCAGGTGCTGAGTAATGCACGACTTTTCTTAGAGAACATTATAAAGTGAGTATGCACCTATATTTATGTAGCTGTTATTGGGGGGTTTTAATCAACAAGAGCTTACGTATTGAGAACTGCTTCACGTCCAGAACAACTTGAACTGTTGCTGCAGTACAGATGTTCTAAGGCATGAGCTTGTTCCAGGTCTTAGGTTATGAAGCTTATTTCCTCTTGTTCCACATCAGCTTGGACAGGCTCCAGCCTTTTGCATCACTTTAAGAGATGACTTCCTATAGCTGTAAAATATATTTCTGTTCCTTCTTCAGGTATGGCATCTTGGTAGACCCTATCCAAGTAGTGTCCCTCTTCTTAAAGGACCCCTACAGCTGGCCAGCAGCATGCCTAATCATTGGTACGGAGCCTTAATTTTACTGCACACGGTTATTGAGTTACAACTTTGTGTTTATTTGTGACTTTAGGATTGAGATGATAAAATTCACAAACATGGTTTGTAGTTGTATTGCTGTGTAGTGGTTATTAACAGCTTCTTTAAGTACAAAAGATGTAAATGGATCCAGAGTAAATAAGTTTGTCAGTGGCTCATATGTGCAATGTTGCCACATAGAAGTGCAGTTCATGTGAGCCTCTGTGTATAATATATTTTGCTGATTGTTCAGATTTTATTTACTTGGATACAGTTGATTCTTGATGCAGTCTGTGTTTTACAACACAGGTAATCAGTACTAGGGTGAAAGCAGAACTTAAAACAAAGGTCATATTTAAATGTTCTTCAAATTCTCTTTTGAAGTTCGTGACTGAAATAAACAGAGTAATGAGTGATTTAGATTTTTATGGCATTGCATCTCATAGAGTTTGAGTACTGTTTTTGTGTTTTAGTGTCCAATGTGTTCATCTTAGCGGCCTTGTACATAGAGCGGCGTCTGGCTGTGGTAAGTCCCTACACTAATATGATGTGTTTTTCTGTGTTGGATTAAATTTTCATTTAACTTGTGATGCTCAGTTCTTCGTCTGGGACTCTTCGACCTCAGTAAGCTTATTTGTTGATGTGATAACACTGTTTTCTTACAGTACAAAGAAAGTGGATTTGATTAGAAGGTTGTCGTTCTGTGATCTCCCATGTGTGCTTGAAACAGGTGCTTTTCAGTTGCCGAAGTCTTCAAAGTAAATTCAACATCACAGCGCCACCTCTTTTTATACCTGCTCTTAAATCCGATAAGAACACTGAAGCTGATCCAGATTAGATAGCACAGTTCCTTAAGAGAAAAAATACTGAAAGTATTAATAAAATATTGCTTACTTTTTGTCCTTTATTCTTTCTAGGGCACAATCTCCGAAACTACAGGGCTGATTCTTCACTTGTTTAATCTGACATCCTTGTTAATCTTTCCTTCAGCCTCAGTACTCACTGTGACCTCAATCACACCAGGTACATGATTTTTTTTTTTTTATGCTTTATTCTTTTTTACACAAGAGTGGGTCTTCTGTTTAGAAAATTAGAACAAATGAGAGCAATAATGTCAAGTACTTTAAGGTGAATATGAGTGAGCCAGTGAGTCAATCTGTACACATACCCAGCTATGCTTGGTTCATTATTTATTTATTATGGACTATGTCATCTATTGCACACTGCTAGTGACTCGTACATTGTGTGTGTCTGTGTCAGTGGGTGGTGTGCTCTCCTTAAGCACCTACACAGTGCTGTTTCTCAAGCTGTACTCCTACATGGACTCCAACAAGTGGTGCAGAGAAATCAGACAAGCCAAAGCTAAAAGAATGACACGGTCATATTCGTGTAAGTATATTAGCATAGGAACTGCTGGGCTGTTGAGTCATTGTGACTAAGGTCAACAAAACTACTCATATCTGTGAATGAATTCAATAGATGATTCATACCCGCAGAGATTTGTTGCACTGTTTTGCTTATACTGCCATCTAGTGGTGGTATAGTAACATGTGCAACTCTTTCATAGAATAGCTGGCGCTATTTCAATTGACCGTGGATGTAGCTTATATTACTGTGGATTCATTTTAATACACCATAATGAATAAAATAAAATTGAATGATGCTTGAAATTCTAATCTGCCACATTCAGGTCCAATTGTGGCACAGTCCAACGGGTCAGCGGTTAACACCAATGTCTCCTACCCAGGCAACCTCACACACAGAGGTAACAGACTGCACAGTTAGTGCAGATGGACATTGCTACCAACAACAATGAGAAAGAAAATTAGTGGGTCAAAATATTTGCTGTGTAAATATTAACTTGTTAAAGTAGGGGCTGAGGAGTATCTCTTTGTATAGCCAGTAAATGTCGTTTCTCACAAGGTCTTATTAATTTTTTTTTAAAACATTCCAGTATCAAAGTCAGAAAGTGTAGGATCAAGTCATTAATGTGACACATTGATGTGACCTGTTTGTGTTTGTCTTTAGACATGTACTACTTCATCTTTGCACCAACTCTCTGCTACCAGCTCAACTTCCCACGCTCTCCACGGATACGCAAAAGGTTTCTGATCAGAAGACTTTTTGAAATGGTGAGAGGAAACTATCAGAAACGGTCCCAAAATTTTAGTTAGTGACCTAATTATAATGACAGAAAATGAATCGCAATCACAAACGAGGAGATGAATGTGTGAATGTTTTGTTTAAATCTTAACGTGTTCTTTTCTTCCAGCTTTTCCTCATGCAGTTGTTGGTGGGATTAATACAGCAGGTATGTAGAATATTTACCAGACCCTTAGCAAGCATGCTGATCCTACACTGTATGCATGCATTAAATAACTGATCAGTCAAATGTGATTTAAATCGGGGGTGTCGTGAAATAACAATGGTCTTTGCTCACTTTTCTGATGCTACAGTTACTTCTTTCACACACCAGCAGATTCTTGCATCAAATTTACAAAGTTGGCATGCCCCGTATAGCCGTTACCATTCTGCTTCTACTCCATTACCACATGCTGAAACCTTGGAGCCGGAAAATGCTGCCTGCAATAAATATATTTAGATTTGACTTATAGTTTGTTTTCTGTAGCTGAATATTGTGTATCTGTCATTCTCTTACATTGTTTAGTGAAAACCTGAAATTGTGATATGCCTAGTTCGAACACATTTCTTCTTTGAGTATATTGTGGAAAAGCAGCAAAAAAAAAAAACTAAGTCTGTGTCTTCCAGTGGATGGTCCCAAGTGTTCAGAACTCAATGAAACCGTTCCAGGTGTGTATAAACATAGACACTCACTGCATCACTTACAATGGCTCCAATAAAGCAAGAGTCAAAAATATTTGCCTGAAACTGGAGCGGTCTTATAAAGAAAAGGTATCTTTTTTTTTATTTTTTTTTATTTTTTATTACTTCTTCAAGGAAATGGACTTTTCTAGGATGGTGGAGCGGCTGCTGAAACTAGCTGTGAGTATCTAGACTGCCCATCAGAGACTTTATCAGTGATCTGTTATTAGTATTAGTGATCTAAATTAAACAGTCAAATGAATTCCTTTATTCTGGTATTGTCGTTTTTTGGGGGGGGGTGTTTTGTATTATTTTAACATTTTTAAAGTGGAATTTATTCTGTGCTCATCTCAAGAGGTCTCAAGAGTTACATTTGTTAGTCAACAGTAGTTCAACCGTACCAACCTAGACACCTTTTCCTCTCTCCTTTTCTAATCCTGCCCCCTGGCTGCCTCCTCCCAGGTTCCTAACCATCTAATATGGTTAATATTCTTCTATTGGTTTTTCCATTCCTCTCTGAACTTTGTGGCAGAGCTCCTGCAGTTTGGAGACCGGGAGTTCTACAGGGACTGGTGGTGAGTCGTCAAGCATACATTTTCTGTGTGACTCCTCTCATCTTTCATTCATTCATTCATTTATTTATTTATTTATTTATTTATTTATTTATTTGCTTCTTCCATTTTTCTGTTACTTTAATATGATGTTGTGCAGTCTGTCAGATGTAGAAGTGATGGTGTTTCCAAATGCAACAGATGATGTATCACATAGGTTTCAAAGAGTGTTTTCCTAGAAATATTGATTCAAATCGCACTGCAGTTTTGACATCAGTTCCTTAAACTGCTCTTGATTTCAGGAACTCTGAGACTGTCACATACTTCTGGGCCAACTGGAACATCCCAGTGCACAAGTGGTGCCTGAGGTGAGCAGTAAGCTCTAATGACAAGTCTTAATTTATTTATTTATTTTAAATCAGTATTGCCACATGGTTTGATTGGCTTTAGTCTCATTAATAGTGCATATATAGTTAGACCCAGATATAAAAAGAAAGACCAGGAGTCATTTGTCTGTTTCCCTGTTTTGCAGACATTTCTATAAGCCAATGTTGAGGAAGGGGGTGAACAAATTTCTGGCTCAAACTGCTGTTTTTCTGGCTTCTGCCTTTTTCCATGAGGTAACTGAGCAACATTTAGCCTCAAACACCTTTGATGGCTGTTTTTACTAAATGTTTTATTCCTACATGAGGGCAGAAATTCAGAGGTTCCTGGTGCATGCACAGAAACTGAAAGAAGAGTTGCTAGCTTACAGCATCACTGTTATAAATGCAACTGCTGAGTTCTAAAAAAGGGAATCTGTTTCTTTCCTCAGTACCTGGTGAGCGTTCCTCTCAAGATGTTTAGACTGTGGGCATTCATGGGAATGATGGCTCAGGTAAGGCCCTATATTTATTCATTTCATTATATACTGAGGCATACACATGCATTCACCTCTGACTTTTTAAACCCTTCAGGTTCCTCTGGCTTTGTTCGTAAGTCGCTTCCTGAACGGAAACTACGGCAACGCGGCCGTGTGGATCTCACTCATAATTGGACAGCCCATCGCCGTGTTGATGTACGTCCATGACTACTATGTCATTCATTACGGGAGCACTACATAACACAGGACAGACACCCACACACTAGTCTGCGGAACACACCAATGAGGTATTATAGAGCAGGTTCAAGGGAATCCATGGCAAGCTCATGTTTATGAAGCTGTTGAAGCTTTGGCACGAAAGTTGTGACTTTATTTTTGCACATTAGGAAACCATCAGGAAATGATTTTGGATATTTAGGAGTCTTGTCTAGTCTCACACTGCACCCCTGTCAGCCTCCAACTGTGCAATCCACTGTACGAAAACAAATATATGGTGCTAGTGGTTTAATCTACCGTTCATTGGCTCAAAGGTTAGACTTCTTTGGGGGTTGGGGACTCCTCTGCTTTAATACATTCATCTTAAAAGTGGGAAGACTAATAAAAACTACACGCTCCTCCGCTCAGTGAATGTTTAAGAATGCACATACCAGCAGGTGCAACAAGTGTGAACCACTGCCAACTGTGCACAAGCTACAGCCTGGATCCAGGATCCTTCTTCCAGAGAAACTATGTGAAAATGGGGATTCTATATCAGGGGCTGAGGAGCATCTTTGTATATCCAGAGGCAACACTTTTAAATGTTAAAGCCAGTAAACTTCTACAAGCTAAAGCCTGACATCCTGGTCAACCACTTAAGAATCTCCATGGCTTGACATAGACCAGACTGACTTTTGCATGTATCCTTGGATGCAATATAACTTCCAGTATTACGGACGGTATATTAAAAATGACATTGAAAATGTCCGAAGGTAAAAAACTGAAGGAAACAAGGATTCCTCTCCAAAAAGACTGAGCACCAGGACGTTGATGTGGATTTATTTGTACAGTTGTATGTCAAACAAAATCAATGCAAGCTTTGAGCGGAAGAGCACGTGCTGCCGGCTTACTTGCCTTGGCTTTATCATCATCTTGTGTCTGCACTGCCTTTGATTTGTAGAGTTTATTTTATAGTTTTGCAGTATTGTATTTGCTGGATGTTTGATTGTGCCATCTTGAAATCACATGTGGTATTTTGTGTTTAAACTAATGATTTAAGTGTTTGATTTGCCAGATTAAACCAATGAATGTTTTTTGCACTTGAGATGCATGCAGTTAACTGAAGCAATAGATTTCAATGGATGCATTATTTTAAGTTGTATCAATCATGTAAAGAAAACAAATTTGTGCTGAGATTTCTGTTCTGTAATCTGCTTGTTGACGTTGCTGTTAAAAGGGAAAACTGAAGCTGCGTTAATTTAAAGAAGGCAGTTGAAACAGCCTGATCACGTTGGATGATTTACAGTATTTGTTGAGTCCATTTCTTTGATCTAGATGTTGTCAGAACATGACACTACTGCCAGTGTGGATAACATACCATAAATTGATGTAGGAAGATGTTCTTATTTTATCAATCTTTGAAAGATAAGTGACAGCCTTTTGTTTAAAAATGGTTGCATTCTTTCCTTTTTGATCATAATTCAGGGAAAAACTGTCCTTGAGCACCAGTAATAGAACTGAGTGTTGGCATTCCTTACTGAATACTAAGTGCCTGCTGTAAAAAGGAGGGGAAAATGCTTGCATTTAAAATGAAGAAAAATGCTGTTAGATTTGATGCCAAATACTTGTAATATAATCCAAAATGTAGGAAAGGTAGTTTAACTTTTATCTATGTAGCAAGTGGGCTTCTTTGTATGGTATGGTGATTTGTGCGGGAGCCTAAGATTTACTGCACTAAGCTCAAACTGAAATATTTTACCAAATCTCAGTTTTAAAGCTATAATTTTTCTTTTCCTGAAAACACAAAAGTAAAGCATCATTCTGATCACTTTATTAGTATTTCATTGCACAAATGACACTTTTTGTCTGACCCACTTTCATCTGCAAATGTGACCCAGTTCTGAATTTTGTCAGATGTGAGATACGGTTATTGTGTGACACCAGAGTTAACATCTGAGTAGAGTTTGTTTTGTTTTTTTTCTCCCCTAAAAACTAGTTTCTACATTTACAAACCATGTATCTAAATGACATGAGCTTGCTGAGGAAAAACAGAAAATGCGTACTTCAGTGCAATCGATAGAAAGAGGCGTCCAAAGCAGTTCAAAGGTGTTTCTTCAATATTAGTTAATGTTGAGGTGTGTGTTTTGTTTTGTTTTTGATGCAATATGTAAAAATGAATATATTGCTAGTTTTGCTCATGTGTACAGAAATCCAAAGTGAAGAGAAAGATTATCTTGGAAAGGCAACTGTCACTGAAAGCGTGTGGTGTTTGATTTAAAAAACAAACATTTATATGGTTATTGGACTTGTCTGTGTTTCATTAACTCTTTTCCCCCATTTGGTGACCTCCCCTGAGTTTTGACACCACAGTACATATCTGTGAAGATGTGGTTTGTTGGCTATTTGAATAGCTTCCAGGCAAAGACCACCCTCACAAACTTCTGATGCAAACCCATTTTGTTCTATAAGCAGGTCTGAAATATGGCAGAAATGAAAAGGGCTTCTAGGCCAACTTCTAGTAGGTTTTCAGTTGGTAAAGACTTAAACAAGTAGTGTGCCTCCTTCGGTTTTTGACAAATAAGATGATTATCCTAAATCCTGTACTTAATGTTATAGCACATCAAAAGCAGTTGTGGTAATCATTCTTTATCAACTTAAAAGCAAGCAGCATTATTAGCAGAGACCCTGTGATGCTGTCTTTTGATCCATCCATCCACCTGCTCAAAACTGCTCAGCTGGAAGCTCATGCTCACAGTCTGTCGGGAAAAATACACCCTCTACACCCGCTGCTTACCTTTTAGTCCCATATTTGAAAAGGTTTGGTACCGATGCTCTATAAGAGACAAAACGCGCACTGTGAGGTGTTTTTAAACATCCTTGAGCTCACTCCATAGACATTACGCACTTTGAGACCCTTCAAGCAGTTGCTACGCATATCGCTGGTTGCTATTGCACGTGATTCGTTTGTTTACGGGTTTTCGTTTCCCTTATACTAGTTCCGGGTGAACCCCTCCCTGCCCCGCTTAATTTGAGGAAATAATTATTGTATGAATCTTTATAAAAAATATGTGTATGTGTATATGTGTATATGTATATATATGTGTGTGTGTGTACACACATACACATATATTCATTGTATTTTGTGTAGCCAGGGAACCGATCCATAAACAACTCTGTTGAGGTGGTAACAGAAAACCTGAAGATATTTTTTTTCCCAAAACACTTTATTACAACCTGGTAATAAACAGCATAGGTAATAAATACACCTGAATAAAACACAGAAGAAGCAAAATGAAGCAGATCAAGCAGAAAAAGCCTGCCTAAAACAAACAGACTAGCGCTTGATAATGTTCACATAAAGGCTTTTATCTAAGCACACATTCTGTTTTTATAGATATTTATTTTGTGAAGAAACCACCGGTAGGCATTTAATACAAAATCTAATATTGTAATTATTAATATTGTAAATGAACAGGTGTGGTTATGGAATTGGGCTAGAAGTAGTTAGCCTAATCAAAATAAATGTCACAATCATCACAGCATCTAAACATATTTCTATAATAGAGAGCCAAATCTGAGAAACCTTTTAGCAAATATAAAACTACTGCCATGTAAAATAACAGGATTAAAATCAGATACAAGCAAGTGTCAGGATCTTATTTGTTTAAAGGACCAGAGGTAAAGATCATATTTTGTTCCTGTCAAGTGTTATAGCTTTAATAGCAACAACGATTCATTGAAACTAAGTCTTTCTGCTGATATTCATACCTCTAGTACAAGAAAGAAAAAATAAAGGGATTCTGCATTGTGTCAGAAGGAAATACAGATGAGGGCATAAGGTGGTCAACATTCATAAATATTGTTTAGAATGCACAGGATGGTGGCAAACTGGAAAAACCCCAGAATAATGGACATGGTGGATTTTTATTATTTATTCAATTATCTTTTTACAGCAGTGCAAGGAAACATCAGACCAGACTTGAATGTGCAGAGACTCACGAAAAAGTCAAAACTAAATGTGTCACTGAATCTGCATAATGTTGTCACAACTAAAACTCCAAGTCACATCGGGGGGGCTGCACACCGCAAGAAGCTCTACTGCTGCAAGACACAGACAGACAAGTGTTGAACTTCTACACAACATTTTTACAGACTGAGAGCTGAAATGGTAACTTTTTGACTGTAACACTGTATTAGCGTTCACGTATATGGAGAGATGTACTAACCTTGGCCTTCTGATTCTGGACAGGCAGGTAGAGTTTAAACTCAGCTGGAAGCTCATCCTCAGAGTACAGTCTGTCGGAGAAATACACCCTCCTTATCCGACAGTTAGCATGAATCTGAGGGGGGAAACAGAGCAGATGTTAAAAAGAGAAAAAGGAATATTGCGCCAAATTCTTACTATAGAGAAACAGGAAAGACTCAGAGGTTCCTCATGTGTGCACTAACCTGTACACGTAGCGTCTCTGTGTAATTGGTTCCATAAGCCCTCCTGGTGAAGTCGGACAGGTTGAACTGAATCTGGTTCCAGCCGTCATCGAGCCTCATGGGCATGGTGCAGATGAAGGGCTTCACCCTCGTCGTGCTCTGATAGTTACTCGCTCGAAACCGCCGGCGAACGTTTTTATCGTCCAGAACCTGAGAGGGAGATATGAGACACACGTAGCACCAGGTCTATGGTAGATTCCCAGACTGTATGTTAGCCAATCACAAAGCATTTAAATGTCTCTACCTGGACCTCAAAGGTGAAATACTTCTTGAGGTTCTTAATGATCATGACCAAAAAGGGAAGTTTGATCCCCAGGGTCTTCTTGGGGTCTGCAGGGCATGTTATGTAGGTGGTGCTGTAGGGAGGACAGAGTTGATGAAGCTAGGATGGGCGAGACTTAAATAACAGATTTATTTCAGTTATTTAACACGACAAAAATATTAAAGAAAGTAAATCTAATTACTATGTCTGGCATCTACATGATTCATTAATGTACACATACTTCAAACAGAACACAAAGACATATTATACACAAAGTGAAGACAATCAATGCACCCAAGAGCTTGAAAAAAAGAATATCATGTTAAATATGCCAGGACTGCAATAGTGTATATAATTATATAATTGTGTATATTATTATAATTTTCAGTTTACATATCCTGTACATATCGTAGAACTGAAAGTAAAGTTGACCTTTGATTAATAAATAAACAGACAAACTCACCTGACATTTGTTCCCTCAATCTCCAGCACATTCGAATGTATGTCATTGTCCGTGACTCTCTTTATGTGACCGTTCCTCACCTGTGAAAACCCAGAAATAGATTTGTTCCCTTATTTTCAATGGAGAAATTAGGATGTTTCCCAGAACGTTTAGAGTGCTGTATGGCGTACCAACTGTAAACCCCCCTGAATCAGATGTGGGATATCGAAGCAAAACTAATGAATGAAGAAGGCATGTCTCATATCTAAAGTCAGATTCATCAACCAGGGATTGGGACTGCCAGGACCCCCACCCCTGATCGCTGCCCAATCCACAAAGCACTGAACCTAATACTTGCTTTTCAAGCTTTGAGTTTTTCTATCCAACTATCGCGAAGTCCTTGCAGATAGGGGGTCATCTCACTGTTGGGGTTTTCTCTGCATTACTGTAGGTACCTTACATTATAATTCGAGACACCTCAAGTCAACTGTTGTTGTTATTTGGTGCTATATAAAATTGAACTGAAATGAATTACAGACGTTTGGAGACACCACTGGGTGGTGCCGCCCGACCTCCGGGTTAGAGATCAGTTGTTGCTTCAGAGGAGTTCAAATATCTCTGGATCTTGCTTATGGGAAAGGAGAGACAGGAGACTGACAGATGGAGTGGTGTGGCGTGTGCAATGATGCAGACCGTGAAGAGAGAGCTTAGCATTAAGGGAAACTGTCAATTTACCAGTCGCTCAAGAGAATAGAATCGTGGATACAAGCAGCAGAAATATTCCCTCAGAGCTAGGGTGAGGAACTCAGACACGCTGGAGAGATTATGTCTCTTGGGTGAGTTTGGGAACGCATCCGTGTACGCCCGGACAAGGTGATGGGGAATGCGAAGTCTGAGTCCATCTACTTAGAGTGCTTTCTTGCAACCTGGACTTGGATACGCGGCAGAAAATGAATGGATGGATGGATGGATGGATATCTCATGTCTCAGATCATTTGTCACCACTGCATAGATGGCCATGCAGAGAGGACTGCAAAGCTCATACTTGAATATCTGACTAGTAATAACTCCTGTTTAGCACATTAGCCCGTAAAACCGTGTGAATGGTACCAATGACTCAATCAAGCGAATGTAACTTCAATTACTGATGTGTGACTCAGGTTAGCAACTTAGCAGCACTGCCTCCATGGCTACCCTGTATCATGTTGCTTCTGCAAGTAATCAACAAGAACTGCGCGTCGTGAATTTAAAGTGCATCTAGAAAACGTCCACAGCCATAAAACAGTGCGAAGTTTAAAAGCGACGTGAGTGCACATGATGCTAGCCAGTTTTAGCCCCGCTCGCTAAGCCAATATACAGCTCCCTGCTTCCGTTCTGAGCGGCTGCTTACCTTTTTGTCCCATATCTGAAGAGGTTTGCTGCCGATACTATATAAAATAGACAAAAAACCGCTCTGGAATGTGTTTTTAAACATCTTCTTTGGGCTCAGCAGACAATCAATGTGCACATACTGTAACCGCTTCTAACTAAAGCTATACGTTTGTTTACAGGTTTAATTTCCGCCTCCAACTTTTCTGGTTCCGTGTGCTAGAATATAAACCGTTCCGCCAACAGAAACTACCACGTTGTCACTTAGAAGAAAAATGAGAAATCCGTTTCACTGAGTGGTCGAATATTCCCACACGGTGTGAAAACAGAAAGAAGGCAGCGGATGTCTCGTTTTTATTTTGGTGTTGCTGGGGAACGAAAATCATCTGACGTTGTTCATGCCGGTTAATAAATGCTGACGCTTCTCGGTCGCCGTGGTAACAGTGTAAGCTTAAAGCACAAGTGTTTAACATAATGTCGTCTAGAAGTCGCCGAAATAACCAAAATAGCTTTCACGTTTGATGATTTTTATTTCAGTTACTGAATGCATGATATAATAAAAACTCCCTAATCATAAACTAATTCAAAATATCTTGAGCTGCCCGATTCTCACCGCCTGCAGCCAGATCCATATGCGCGTCTCCAAAGAATTTTAAGACTTCTCTTTAGTTTAGAGAGATGAGCTTTCACACATAGCTTCCGTAACCAAGTAGGGCCGCACAGCTCTGATCCTCCATTACAGCTGTCAGGATATTACCTGTACAGTTCCTGTAGAGGGATGATGCAGCATTAAACAAGGCACCCTTGATCTACTGGAGTTTCCTATGGTCTGTAGAGGTGGGAGGATCCATCCAAATATTAATAGTTTCAATACCAACTAAATATTGGCATCAGAATGACACTAGCACAATGGGACTGATACTTTGCTTTAATCGTCTTAAGTTCAGTATTTAGCCCACCTAATTATAAAAGTATACCTCTATGCACTATGAAAAAATGTGTGAACCTTTTTGTCATGTCTTTGTCTTAAATCTGTTTTATTTATAGCCTGTAGCACATTGAAACAACAGAAGTTGACCCAAAGTGCTTTAAAGACAGGTTCCCGGTCTAAGACCCCCCAAAACCCCTGTTTCAAAATACACGAAAAGCTGAAAGGTGTGTTTTGCTGTGTTAACTCATCACTCATCACATCATTAAAATGTGTTCAGGAATTGCAAATTCAAATTGATTTATCTCATAAACGCTCTCCCCTAAATAAACTAGCTTTATGGGTTGAAAGTATTGGTATCAGCAATACTAACCTTGTATTTACTTGGTATCGGATTTATTCCTAAACTTGCTGTGTCACACAGCAATAATGGTCTTTCTTTCACTTTCTTTTCTTTTCTTTCTGAATGTTTTTTTGTTTTGTTTTGTTTTGTTTTTGGTGCATCAGAATTTACTCAGGTACAGTACCAGTCACAGCGACCCAGATGCTTAATAATATTATCTGACATCTTACCTGTCCATATAGACCAAGATTATTCATGTTGATCTGATAATAGTGTAGCTACTCTTTATTTATTTCGGCTATTTCCTTACACTGACAGAAAAGTGGGTTGACATTGATGTTGACATCCCTGTTTTAGGCAAACATCATGTTTTAGGATTTAATGAGTTTCTAAACTTAATACTGAAGTAATGATTCTAAATGTAAAATTATAATCTGTTGTTGTTGACTGAAATAAAAATTTCAATTCAAAAATTCAATTCAATTCAAATGATGTTTTAATTATCATTGGGTCCTGCAGTAGATATCAGGACATTATCAGTCCATAATGTAACATATCATTGAACCATGAGACTGCCTTTGAATCCTACCTTAAAGAGCATTCATCTGACGGCCATATCCTCTGCTTTTTCTGACTAATACATTAGCCCCACAGACCTAAAAAGGCAGCTAGAGTCTAGTCCAGCCACCATCCTATCTTATTTAACTCCAGTTCTAGAAAATGAAATCATCTTTTTGAAGTTTGCTTATAAGACAGCTCCATCTTTATCTAACCTCAGCTGTTCACCTCAATCTTGCATCCTGGTCACCCCCCATTTAAATCTTAACATCTTCAACTCCGCCACCTCCACAGTTACAAATCACCCCTGAATCTTATTTTCAGCCTGCCTGCACGCTCGCGTTCAACTCTCTCATGCAGTGTCTTTTTCTTTGAATAGCTGACTCCGACTATTTAAACTCATACATCTTCACTACCTCTACTGCTTTCACCTTCAGTGTTCCCCCGTCTCCCTCTCGTTCATACACATGTATTTAGTCTTACATTTACAATGACTATTCTATTCTATTCTATTCTATTCTATTCTATTCTATTCTATTTTTGCTTTTACTGTCTTTCATTCATTTTCTCTCCAGTGCATATGCCCACCTCTCCAAGCTCTCTGCCACCTGCTAAAATCTGTAACAGGGCTATTTCAGTACTTCTGAACAGAAGACCTACTGAAAGCTAAAATAAATCCCTCTCAGCCTAACAAAATATGTTTGTTTTTCCCATGAGGTTTTAGCTCCTCTCTGCTTGCTAAATGCCTGCAGACTTACCCTTGTCTGCAAGCCCAGATAATTCCTCTGACATTTCCAATTTTGTCAGAGTTTAAGTTTAAGTACTGGAGTGCCCCTTAATTCCCTAATACATCTACCCCAAAGGTTTCTAGAAATAGATTTCCTATGCACAACTTAAATTAAGCACTCTTTCCACCCTCTAAATTCCGCCAAAGTGTCAAGCGCGACATCCTTCCTCCGTCTCCAACAGTTTAAACATTTGGCAAAGATTTCAAATATTTAAACAAGCCAAGAAACATTCAATCAAACATTAACCAGGCACTTTGTATAATGACATCACCAACAGCGAAGTCTCCTTTTAGCTTCATAAGAACTGACGCCTATGGTTTTTTTCACCGGTATTACTGCCACAGGACTTTATTTGACGTTTTGATGTTAGCCACACAACCGCAAACATATTCAATGGGACAGATGTTACAGCTGTTTATCCTCCTGTGTGTTTAGGTGATGCTTCTTTGTGGTGAAACAAATGTAAAGTGATCCCTTCTCTACTTTTTATCTATCTTTCACTATGAAGGTGTCCTCTCCCATTTTTATAAGTGTGTGTTGGTTCACGGGTTCGCAGGCTGGCAGCTTCATAAAAACATCTACAGAAACAGTTTATGCTGCGTTGTATGCTTTACGCTTTTATTTTGCTCTTTACTTCTCTAATTGAATCATGTATTTACACAGAGACAAACGTATATTTTTTCTCTCTAACGCTGTCCAAGTGGGACCACCCTGGAGACAGCTTTAAATAAACGATTTTGAAACTGTCTTTTGTTTTTGTCCCACAGAGACAGAGCAGTCTTCCGGCCAGCTCTTTCTAATTTTTCCTCCTCCTTTTAGCCTGCCAGCCACTTACTCTTTTCTTGTTATTCCCAATCCAACTGTTATCCATCCAAGTATGTGTTCCTCTTCTGCTTTTCGACACCTCGGACGCTCAAGCCTTGCCTTTCCAAATCCCTGTTTCAGATGAAATATATTAGAAGATGTCCTATTTGACGAGAGCTCAAACTAAAGAGGTGGAAAATGGGAGATATTATGAGACAAAACAGAAAGGTGGAGGAAGATGGGGAATGACAAGAAAGAAAATGAAAGAAGTTAACATTTTTGACACATCTTCATTACATTTTCTGTAATACGTCATATGAAAGAGATGATGGAAAGAGGAGGTCCGCCTGTTGAACTTTACTTTCCATTGGAGGACGCTCTCCGCCCCAGAGCTCCACATCTGACTCTCTGGGCCTATTCTTTCCTTACCTTTTTAGCAAATTACTGAAAGAACAAAGGATGGACGAAATGAAGAGAAGATAAAAGTATGAAATTAAAAGCAACTGAGGAGCTCTTAATTTATATAATCGGACAACAAGGACTTTTGCACAAGTCTACTGCATGAGGATTTGTTTTCACCACTTTTTCTCTTCTTCAGGTACGTTTAATCCGTTTATTTGTTTTTTTCTGGTTATGGTTTTTGTACCTAACGATCAGAAGGACAATAGTCTGCATTACTTTGCCTCATTTTCTGAGCAGCAGTTTTAAGGTTCCTTGTGTACATTTGTCCTCCTGGAGATCACAGTACAGTACTTTCCCTCTGGTACATGCATATTACTGTTTTTTTTTCCATTGGAAATTGTACACAAAAAGGAGCTTTCATTCTTTTAAGAGTGCATAATGTAAAGTTTAAAATGCCTGAATTTAACTTGTGAGGGTTTAGCTCAAAGGCAGCCCCTATAGATTTAGATATGATTAGTATGTTCTAATCATTTCATTTAAAAGTGAATCTAAGAAGCAAATGCACATCTGCATCTGTAAAGTCTGCAGGTGCTGGGCAGCAATGATTAACACAATGTTAAAAAACATTTGCAGGCTTCAGAGTCATTCACTGGTTTATCTTTTATATAATAATTTTGTCACATATTTTACCATAACTATGAAGTTTCAAAGAAGATAGCTGTTTGGAGAGGGTTTTTTTTTCTTTTTTAAAATCCAGGCTGACAGTCATGTTTTATCTAACTGTCTTATGATGATGAAGAGTGGAAAGACCTCTCTCAGCGGCACATGTTATCCAGTGGGAGCTCATCTGTCTCTGGTTTTTATAAGGAAAGACACTTTTGGCCAAAATGAGAGGATCTGCTGAGTAAAATATGACATTATTTAAGACTTTTATAAAATTACTTTCATTAAAGTAAAGGATGATATTTTTTATGTATGTTTTTTCTGATGTCGAACAGTCAAGACTAAATAAACACTTTTTGTGAGATTTAATTTGGGGCTTTTAGAAACGCATTAACAGGAACAGTTCAGAGTAGAAAAGAAAGTGTGATGGAGAAGATGAATGATGGGCAGACTCAAATCCAGGCTGCTTCTTAAAGGACTTGAGTTGCTTGTATGTGATGTGCAAGCTCTGCCAGGGGAGCTCCACAGATTTGCTGAGCGAAAAATAAATCATTTTATCCCCCGTGATTCATCAGATGAAACAAGCTGAAACTAACTTTTGAGCCAACTTGGCTAAAGTTCCTGTAAGGGCTCTGGATGAACTCAGAACAACTACAGAGATTGTACGACAACAAGTTTATTTCCATAGAAAATGAGTGTGATAAGTTTCAAAGCTCTGGGAAAAGTTAGTACATTCAAGTTAAGGGTGAAACAGTTTTGGCCAACTAATGAATAGCTTGTTTGGCCAGTTGTTCTTAAGCAGAACATAACAAATTCACTAATGTCGTAACGCCTTATTTATCACACTGTTTTATCTGTTCCCGTCTGGCTTTGAAATATCAACACTATTTTTTGCCAGTCTTTTTACTTCTTTAAGCCCCTTGAAAGTGAACACAGTCCAGCCGTTTTTTTAAACAGGACGTGTCGCACTGATCACGTTTATTGTGTTAAGACAACAGTCTACATCATGTTCAACACAACACATGTCAGCGGTGTGTTAAATAGCCGTGCGCGCTGGCAGGGTTCATCTTAATGCTGTGCTCCATCTTTGAAGTAACACACACGGTCGTGTACTTAACTTTGTTGAGAGTGTTACATCCTTTTAGGGAGGAGATGAAGATGGATGCAGTTGCCTCTACGATACAAGAGCACATTGTTTATAGGATCGGGATTTCCAAAGTCTCTCTGCCTGGATTCAGTTCTGCAGATGTTGGCCATGTTTTCATCCCTAGAAGTCGCAGCTATCTCCTTTAGTTTTTAGTGTGGGTGTCTTTGTGTGTGTGTGAGTTTGGAGAACAAAGCTGTTTGGAACTATTTACAATACAGTATCCAAGGCTGAGTCCAAGATAAAAGGTTAAGGCATCCGTCTTTAAATTACTGCCTGGAGGCTGTAATGAAGAAGTCCTGATATTACTGAACAATCTGAGGGGGGGGAAAAGGTTAAAAAAAAGTAGATACAATGAGTCTGGACATAATCCTAAAAAGCTTTTACCATTTAGAAAAGACAAGAATCTGAAAGATTTATTTTCCTCACTACGTTAACAAAGTAATAAATAATTAAAAATGCCTTAAGTGCTACAGTATTTTTTGAGGTGCGCATCAAGAAATAGTAACTGCTTTAATTCTTTGTGGCATGGATTTAGCAAGGTACTAAAAACATTATTCGCAGATTTTGGTCCACATTGACGTGATAGCATCACACGGTTGCTGCAGATTTGTCAGCTGCACATCATTGTGAACATCCTGTTCCACCACATCTCAAAGGCGCTCTATTGGATTGAGATCCGGTGATAGTGGAAGACACCTGAGTACAGTGAACTCACTGTCATGTTCAAGAAACCAGTTTGAAATGTTTTGACCTTTGTTGCCTGGTTTGTTATCCTGCTAGAAGTAGCCATCAGACAATGTGTACTCTGTGGTCATAAATGGACATGGTCAGCAACAATAAACTATCATCTTTCAGTACTAAGGGGCCAAAAGTGTGCCAGGAAAATTCGTTCAACGCCATTACATCATCACCACTACCACCTTTGGTACAAGGCAGAAAGGATGGATCCATGCTTTCATGTTGTTTACACCAAACCTGACCTTACCAGCAGAAACTGAGACTAATCAGACCAGACAGCATTGTACAATTTTGGTGACAGGAGTAGCAATCAGTATGGACTTCTGTTGCTGTGGTCAATCTGTTTCAAGCTTCAGCATGTTATGCATCCAAAAAAAGCTCTTGACTTGTTCTTTTTGAGTATTTTTGAGATACTGTCTTCCTATCAGCCCAAAGTAGTCTGGTCAGTTTCCCCTGGCCTCTGACATCAGCAAGACATTTTCTTATTTAGAACTGCCACTCACTGGATATTTTCTCGTCTTTCGGATCACTCTGAAATGGTTGCATGGGAAAATCCCAGTAGATCAGCAGTTTCTGGAATACTCAGACTACTTCATCTGGCACCAACAGTCATACCACGTCCAGTCACTCAAATCACTTTTCTTCCCTATTCTGATGCTCAGCTTGACCTGAACAGGCTGTTCAAATGCAGAGAGTTGCTGCCACATGATTAGCTGATTAGATATATTAATGTTAATGAGCGGCTGAACAGGTGTGCCTAATGAAATGTCCAGGTGACTGTATTTCTCTTTATTTAGTCCACTTGCTTCATTATTATTGTGGGGTTTTAACCTGAAAATAACAACAAGCAGTTGTTTTATTCATACATGAACAGTGTGGTAACACAATCCCAGTTCCAATAACTAGCTTTCTAAAGGATTTTGCATTGTTGTCATGGAAATAATACCTTGAAAGTGTGAAAGCAGATGTTAGACTGGACTTCCAGTTGAGATTACTACTATAGTAAAGGAATTATTCCCCTAAAGTTGACATAACATAATATAGACATTGTAATTTGCTTTTATTTGTATTTATTGATTTAAGTAAAACATTGTAAATCTTTTTTTCTTTTCTTTTTTACATCTTCACTTCCTGATTCTCACCAGCCTACCTGTCATTCATTTTTTCCAACCAATGGAGAGCCTTCTCGCCAACATCAGCTCCAGCTCCACTGCTGAGCCTCTCCTGTCACTTTTCAACTCACACCAAACTAACTGCAACACCTGGGACCAGGAATGGGGGACCACAAACCTGCACAGGTTAGCCCACCTGGACATGCAGCTGTATCAAGATTTCTACACCGTCTGGGTTTTTCTGATGGTAAGATCAAATGCTGAATAAATCTTATGTTACACTCCAGCATTTGCTATTTCTGTGCAGTTCCTTAAGTTGTTTTTACACTTGTTTAGGGTAAGCAGATAAAAGCAAGGACCCCGCCTAAATAAATTGAATAGATTAAATTTACCAAGAAATTTAATCTATTTGATCTGCATGACCAATAAACTAAGGATCCATCCCTCCCTGCTGCAGGTGTTTAACTGTCTGATGCTGGTGGTTGGGGTGGTCCTCAACAGCCTGGCTCTCTACGTTTTCTGCGGTGCCTCTGCACACTCTTCAGCCTCCGTGGTTTACACCATAAACCTGGCGGTGGCTGACCTGCTGGTGGCTCTGTCGCTGCCAGCTCGCATCGCTCTGTACCACAGTGGAGGGAGCTGTGTGGCCTGCTCATACGTCCACACCTTCAGCTACTTTGTCAATATGTACTGTAGTATCCTGTTTCTGACCAGGTGGGTGAGTCATAACCTCATTTGTCACATAACGAGGAGCTGTTATGCTTTTCATTATTTTTAGTTATGTGCATTCTTTTAGTTGGATGCTCATATTCAATGTGGTAACACACACAGATAACCCTGTGGACCAAGAGTTTGGCTTCTGGCTGGTCTAATTTCTTGATTTCCAGAAGTTCTTGTGTCAAGGTGATATCATTTTGGCATGGATTTCCTTATACCGTCCTCTCAGGCTTGGACTGAGATGATAGAAGCTTTTGTTTGTGGAAGCCAGGCAAGGGGCAGCCAATCAGAAGAAAGTCAGGGTTTTAAGGAGTGAAGCCTTAAAGAAGCCTAGTATTCAAATTTATCAAAAAATAAATTGGAATAATATGTCCCCTCTATCAATATTCACTGATGGCTTTCTATTCAGCATCTGTATCGATCGGTACCTCGCTGTCGTCCACGCATCCAGTACCCTTCATCGATGGAGGACCATAGGAGCGGCAAGGTGTGTCAGTGCCACCGTGTGGTTCATTGCAGTCGTGGTCACCTACTCTTTTCAGGTGAAGAGACACACTAAAAACACAGCGCACACAAGATGAGCTCTCAGTGTATAAATCCACAAAATAAACCTAGTAGTGGTAGTGGGGGGCAATTTTAAATTTTTAAATTATCCCGAGTATTAAAACTTATCAGTGATGACCGTCAATTAATCAAATAATGATTTTCATGAGGTTGCAAGAAAAGTAGGAGGAGTCTTGGTTTACAGAACAGTCAGGATCTAAAGAAGAGCTGACAAGGCTGTCAAGCTGAGACAAGCTAAAAATGCTAAAAGGCTAAATCATGATAGAATTCTTTCTCCTTCTCTCTCTAGACCACAGCTTTGGAGTTCAGTTCCTCCTGCATGGTCCTCCCTGCCCTTTTCTATCTCACCATCCTGGAGTTTCTCCTCCCCCTGCTCGCTGTGGTGGTCTTCACTCTGCGCGTCACCTGTTTTCTCTCCTCCAGCCACAGCGGGATGCCCCACCAGAGCAGGGTGAGGAGGACTCGTGCCATCAGGCTTTTGGCCACCGTCCTGGTGGTCTTCACTGTGTGTTTCACACCCTTCCACGTCCGCCAGGTGCTGGTTTACTTCCAGTTCAGAGTGGCGGGGGAGGCTCCCGGGCAAGGGGCGAGGGATGTGCTTGCCTATCACATCACCGTGACCTTGAGCAGCCTGAACAGCTGCCTGGATCCAGTGGTTTACTGCTTTGTGACGGACAGCTTCAAGAGAATGTGGAGGACCAGGAGAAGGGGAGGCAGAGAGGAGGACGGGGAGGTGGGGTTTACAAGTGGCATCGAAGGGGAGAGGAATTCGCTGAATAAATGCTCGGGTACGGCACTGGCGATAGCTCAGAGCATAGCCACACTAACGCTCACAAGCGCACCCCTCTCTACAACCAGCGCACACCACTCTGATTGGACAGGCGGCCATGTTTCAGAAACCAGTGATGGCACAGTTCAGAGAGACAGCTGGAGACAGTGACACATGTCGACTTTGTTTTGCTGTGAAACCAATGAACTTACATTGCTTCAAGTTTCAAAAGCTGCTGGATTACACACAGAAAAAAAATTATGTATGTGGGGAGTTGATGTTTGGCTTGTGTTCCAGAGGCACCTCATCAAAGTTTGTGATGTAAAAATTCAGATTGATTAAGGAGGAAAAAAAACCCATTTTATTCACAAACAAGCTTTTTATTTAGTCATCGTTCTGTCTGGATACTTCTTTAACACTCTTTGTAAATTCCTGCACATGTGAGTTAAACAAGGCTTTACCTGTCCCTTTATTCCCTTTCTTGCTCTTTTTTTAAACGAAAATTTTTCCATTAGAAATAAAAACAAAAAGTTGTATAGTAACAGTTGTATAGTAGGTAAACTACCGTGACTAAGTCATACGCTTTAGAATGGAAATACTCCTTTTGTCATGGTCCTGCGACCATGACTCGGTGACTTTGTGTTTATGTACTTATTGTTATTACTTTCATTATTATTCATGGCTGTTTTGGGATGGTTTGTGTTTGGGATTTTAGATACTGGGTTTTGGGTTTGTGCTCCCTCTATTGGTCCCTGGTGTCAGTGTTCCCCCACAGGTCCAGCTGTGTCTCCCACCTGTGTGTGATTTCCCAGTGTCTCTCTGTGTATTTATAGTGTGTGTTTGCCTCTGCTCCTCGTCGCGTCGTCTGTGTTCATCCTCTGTGTTCCTACCTGGTGTAATCCTCTGCGTGCTCTCCCTGCTGTTCTCTCTTCATGTTCAGGTTTGCCAATCCTCTGTGTAGTTTATCCCAGTTTAGTTTTGTCCTTAGTTCTGTTTGCCATCTCCACTTTGTGTTTGTTATTAACAATAAATCACCCTCACACCTGAATAAGTGCTGCGTTTTGGGTCCTCCTTCCACTCTCCACACAGCCGCTGCCCCGGACCGTGACACCTTTTGTGTACTTTTGTAGACCATTTATTTGACTGCTTTGATTTTTTTAGGATGCATTTGACTCTGATTCATCAAGATGTCTGTATTGAGTCACACTGAATGTTGAAAGCCTTCAAAAATGACATTTGCAACATTAAAATGAAGAATTACAGAAAGAGTTATGAGCAAAGAAAAGAGACTTTCAGAGGGTTGAAGTCTCGAGAAACATAAATAGGATAAATGTGTGTGTATAAACATTTAGGGGTACACAGTGTGATGTTCTTTTAATGACTTGTTAATAATTTAAAAAATGATTAAATGGACTTATGTCAGCATCACAAAGACAGGAAATGATGAAAAACAAAAGCACTGCTTTGTTTCTAGTACATCAGGTTATTTGCTGGATTTAAATTTAGGCTACACTTTAGAGGCTGTGATCACACATCTTCCTCATAATTCAGGACTTGGTAGATGCAAGTTAAATGTTTAAGAAATGGATGCATCAATCAAACTATGTACTAACATAAAGTCACTTTATCATAAATTCCTTTTCTTCTTCTTCTCCTTGTTTGTTTGTCTCAGCATTGCTTGTTTTTGAGTCAGTGTGTGCTATTTTTACTGACTTGTTTATCTTGTTTAGTATAATAAATGATTTATATAAAGAAAATGCAGAGATGGTGGTGCTTTTTGCAATTAAAGTGCTGTTTCTTTGGCTGTAGCTGTTGTTAACAAAAGAAATAGTCACCAGCAACTTTATTAGGTACATTCTTTTAACTCCTGGTTAAACACTTGAGCCTACCTGAGTATTGTTGATGATCATCTCTATTGCTTTATGACCACAGTGTCTCCATCACCTGATTGCTGTGCTCAGATGGCCTCCACATTCATCAGGTCTCAATCAGGTAAAGCACTGGTAAAGGGATGCGGTGGAACAGGAGATTCACATCATGGATTGCAGCCAAACAAATCTGCAGTAACTTTGATGCTGTCGTGTCAATATGCACCAAAATCTCTGGAATGTTTGCAGCACTTGATGGATCTGTGCTACAAAGGATTAAGGCAGAAATGGGGTCCAACCTGGTACTAGGTGTACTCCACCAGAGGACAGCATCTCCCTGCGGTGGAAGAATGTCATCCAGAACAATCACACTGGCACTGATTAACAGTGGAGCTGTTCATGAAAAATAACATTACCCAATAACAGATTATGTTATTTCATAGCTGCTGCTGTTATCCACTGAAATATCTGTGTGTTCTAAAGCAGGGTGAAAAAAATTGTGAATTATGAATTTAATTTATAAATTAAAAAACGATTTATGACTACTCTCCTACACAAGATTTCAGTGGATTTGTGTATTAAGTGCATAAAACTCTTTGTTTAGTTTTCATTGACGATATTAGAGTCGAGCTATGAGTTGTCAGCCATAGCAGGAATGTGAGACATTCAATTGAGCGGCATTTCCCTCCATCATCCTTCCAGAGAAGCAGCAGGTCATCACAGTTCACGTTACGTAACTGCGATGACCTTAGCTTGCAACTTTATACCAATGCGCGCACACACACACACATATAAATACTTACCATCAGCTGGCCCTGCTGCCACATGATGAGTCTGGGTTAAACACACACACCAGTTTCAGGTTCCTTCTCTGGCTTCTCTTCATGGAAACAGCCAAAGCTTTGACCGAGTGTGTGCATGTGCATGTGCGTGTGCGTTTGTGTGCGCTAGAAATCTGATTCTGCACAACAAAATGTTTTTCCCAGTTTTCCTCTTCCTTCTCAGCGGTCTAACCGCAATGCATCATGGGAAACCAAATTAGCTGCTTTGAAGATGCTGAGTAAAGATTTTTTTTGGCACATGAAAAAATGTCTTGAAACTGCAGACCAGCAGGTTGCATCACCAACAGTCACATGCATTCCAACAAAACACAAGCAAACAAAAACACGAGCGAGGTCACAAAGACAGAATTATTTTTATATTTGCTTCTTTGGAGTAAACCTGGTCGTTAGCTTCAATGGATCACAATTTATTTATTTTTTTAGTATAAAAACTAAATAACACTTTATATTACAGCTCACAACTAAGGGTGTAATTTCTATGTAGTTAAGGGGAATTTTAACACATTCTATTTTTGAATTTTTATTTGCAACAATTAATTACTGTAATTAAATTTAAGTGGTTTCTAAGTAATCTTACACAGTGTATCAGTAATTTTGATTTGCGCCTAACTTTTAAGTAGACACAAATTATTCTGTGAGTGATTCAAGTACTTTGTGTCTCCTTTCCTGTAAACTACCCAGAATTTAGGCGCAATTCGAAATGACTTATCCACAACTCAAATTTGTATTTGTATGTAAATACAAGTACATTTTTTAAAGTTGTAATTTTTAAAAATTAATTAATTAATTACATTTGATTACAGGGGAATTACACCCTTAGTTGTTGTGCAGATTTCTGTTTCTGTTGAAGTGCAATTGAGTTTTATCATTTCTTCAGATAAAAATACTCTAAATACCTCCTTTACAAAAAAAAGTACGATTTGGAAATGCTTGCCAAATCTTTATAATAAAGAATGAAAATTCTCTAATTAACATGTAATTAATATTTTACAGAAATCTTACTTTCCAAGGAATAAGATGCTCGTATACTTGCAAGAAAATGTGCATCAAGCCTGATAAAACCAGTCTGCTAAAGATAATAAGTGAGGTAACAATATACAGAAGGACATTAGTGCATTTTATTAACATGTTTTTTAGACACTGTTATCCCTTAATATTTCATTATTTACATGTGTGGTAAAAATTTTTGCAATGTAATACTAATAAGAGTAAACTAACAGCTACACTCAAGATCAAGACCTTTCTGAGCATCTTTCTCAACTCATGTTAAATGCACTGCAAAGAATTTTCCTCTAAGTATTAAAACGTTCTATTTTTAAAATGAATTTGTTTCTCTGATTATTATTGCATATAAAAACATGTATTTTGTGGCTATCACTGTATATTTATGTCTTTATGAAGTGAGACACTCCCAGTTGCAGAAATCTTTTTTGATCAAATGAACTTTTATTTTCATCCAGAGCAGATTTTTTTTCTCTTTTTTTTGCCTGTATGGTGAGACCCTTCTTTATTATTGATTCTTGTCACATTTTGAATTCTTAGTGAAAATGCCAAATGATGAAAAACGTCATTGGTTGTTTGCTTCTGAACAGAGTTTAAGGTGCGTTCCATACAGTGTTCATCCAGAGTCCTACATATGAAGGCTCAAGCATATTTACATAACATAGAGATATATATACAGACTTTATATAGAAAACAACACTACTAACAAAAATAATCATCTTTTTTATAGCAGCAAAAAAGAAGAAACTAAAAGAGAAATATGTATATTTACATCTTTTTTTTCCAAATAACAAGGCATATTATATATAGTACACTGCGTATATTTACTTTCCCATTCTTTAAGTATTCATCTTGATTTAATCTCTATGAAAATCAAAGTATATAGGCATCGCTCTCCTCCGTCATTAACACACAGTTTACTAAAGGCAGAGCCACAAACACACAAACACGCATGCACAGAGGCTGGACTGACTGCATGGCCGTCACGCTGCTGCCCGGAAATATGAAACAGCATCACCGCGTCTCCACATTCATTCAGCGATGCGGACGGTGGAGAGCAAACACTGAAAATGTACAAAGGCCAAAATTTGACGTGTGTGGCTCTGCCTAGGATTCAAATAAAACACAACACACACAAAAAAAAGTTTCTAGTTGAATTAAAACAACAGAACAGAGACAAAAAAAGACTTCAGGCATCATCACCATCGATTCCAGAGCTAAGTGTAAACCAGGTGATTGCAGAACAGAGAACCAGGACCAAAAAGTGAACACTGAGATGACAGTTTTAACACACTGCTGTCTTTTTGCTTTGCCAGCTGTGAGAGGACCTATGCTCTCTCTCTCTCTCACACACACGCACACACACAAAGTCCAGTTCACCTGTAACAGCAAATAGAATAGCTTTAATTTACTCATTTGCAAACTAAATGTCCTTTATAGACAAGAAAGCTCAAAAAATAAATATCCACAGTTACTTGTTTTTTTTTCCTCCTTTTGCAATAAAGTTCTACTTGTTTATTTATTAATTTTTTTTACTTATGTGCAAGTTCTGTGCAATGTCAGGACTCCCACCCTGGATCGTCAAACATCAAAACCAAAAACCAAACTCACATTCGTTGACTTTAAAACAAACAAACAAACAAAAAAAACATTAACATTTTAAGTCACCAGATGGAATCAGAGGTTAAGAACTCAATCTCCCAGCAGGCCAAGCGAAGCGGCTGAGCTGAACCGAGTCGCCGGAACATTCCAGAGTCTGTGATAAAAGGCTTGGGACATCATTGGAACAACAACCCCCCCCCCCCCCTTCCCCATAAAATCAACTACTTCCTCACTGCATTGGAACAGAAACACTCTAGTTGCACTTCAAGTATTCACGGCCAGGAGTCTCTAACCTACACTTGTAATGAAGGACGTCTCATCCTGTAACACATTTCTTCACTTTCCAGCTTGAAAAGTGATAAAGTGGATGTTTAAAACTCGCTCACCTGTTAGGAGTGTACTGACCCAGACCAAGCACAATGCTTCAGCTTAAAGAGTACATGTTGCGATTAATTCTTTTTTTTTAACACGTTTAAGTTCAAACGAAAACAAAAAGACACAAACATCCAGCCGTGCATTAGAAAATACATCCCTGACCTATTACGATTAAAGAAAAGAGCTCGAGTGATTTGTACAGTCATACTTTGGTGTTCTGAACATGCATATCGTTGTCGTCGCATGCAAAGCTCCATAACCCCAAAGTTGATTTTTTAAATTATTTTTTTATGTTTATTCAGAATATTTTATTGCGCTAATGGCTGCAGGGGGCCGTTTTTTAAAACATCCAATCTTAGCAACGTTTTATCTTACTCTCTGATTCAATGTACCTGAAAGTATGGAAGGAAATGTTAAACTTTGCACATGAGTGAAAAATCACAAACACATCCCCCCCTCCAAAAAAACCATCCTCTGAATTCTCTTCTAAAGTCGCTCAAGTTGAAAAAAAACCCCAAAATAAAAACACCTTTTCCACTAAATGCTTTACATACGTTCATACATACAAACAGTTCTTTCCATTTAGTCACCACCCCCACTGCAATTTACATTTTGTTTCCCTTCAAGCTGCTTGCTTCAGCTGATTGAAATGAAAGGAAAACTGACCCAAAAATATGCACCACCACCAACAACCCTGCTCAGCCTGCACAAGCTCTGCACAGTACTCTGATCAACAAGGGTCCTTATTGCAACTAAAGGCCTGATTTATCGGGGCACAAACAACACAACACTTTAAAATGACTTTTTACATGTCCAGCATAATCAGCTAAAGAAACATTCAGAAGATTAAGATCGTTTAACGTCATCGCACACTCAGTCATCAAGGTCTTCGTATCTATCCCGGCTTTAAGGATTGCTAAACTCGGCAGTTTTGCTTCCTTTGCTGTGGCTACCGTAGCAGATTTAACCATTTTTCCCAAAGCCTTTTGACTGTATTGTAAAATAAATGTCACAACACTTCAATCAAAATTAGTGAAACTCTAAATTCTTGGTGCTATCTTTTGTTCTGTGAAAGTTACAGAGCTTAAAACCGGGTCCGGGTCTGCTTTGAAAAATATAGAATCTACTCTGTTCTTCTTTTGGTGATGTGGAAAGACCCACAACAGGGCTATGACCTTCTCTTGAAGCTTACGCAACAAGCCTTAAACTGTTGTCATAAATGACTCCTGTCAACACAATGGAGATTTGTTTGCCTTTTTTTAAACATTTCCATAAAATTTAGCATCCATAAAAAAATATTAGAACCCCAAATCCAAAAGGTAACGCTGTTCTAGCTGAACCTTGTGACATTTCTTTTCCAACAATGTGCAGTGAGTGGCAAACTTTATGCTGACAGTATCTTTTTTAAAACAAACAAACAAAAAAATAAGCGAAAAAGTAAAGAAAAGGAGAACAACTCGGTTTCCTTTTTCTCTTCCTCTCTGGTGTTTGGTTTGTCGCTCCTCAGCTAGTCTAACATGCAGCATAGGTTAGTTTGATTAGTCAAAACAAACAGAAACATCACTGTGGTTCCTCACTAAATCTTGAAAACAATATTTGATTGTAATGCCCCATATACTGCACACACTGCATCTAGGCTCTTACTTTCACGCTTGTCGAATTTCACCCGGTAAACATGCGTATGTTTTGACTGTCGTTTTATCGTTCGATATACATGCGACTTTATTCTCATGCTCAATATTTCTGAGCAGATCCTCTGGATTATTGTCCTCTTTCCCCCGCGTTGAAGGCTGAATTAAAGATTTTGTCAGTCCTGCCATATGAAAGAGGGCAACAGCATCAATTTTATGGTCAACCAATTCCCCAGGAACCAGGCTTCGGGCTTGCGATTTCAAAAAATGCCACTTCCAAAAGTCTTTAGAGTCTTAAAGCTAGTGTCGCTGCAATGTCCCGCAAAGCCGACTGTGTTGTTGGGGTTGTTTTGGTGTTTTAAGTCAGCAGACACACACATTCTCGTAAATCAGCGTCCACATCACGAAGCAAAAACTCAATCAACCTGACTCCACAGTGCGGAAGAACGATTTTCAGCATTTTGTAATGATTGCAGCTTCAAGGACTAATGTTCATCAATAGAGTTCATTATTAGGGTGTTCATTCGATTGTGTTGAACTTAGATGAGGAAATGTGAGTGTGTGAGTATGTATGTGAGTCCCCTGAAGTTTCCTGTCCAGGTGGCTGCTCAGTAGCACCTCCTAGAGGCCCTGAGAGACAGGAGACAACCTCTCCTTAAAACGACGGCCAATTAATTACTCAATCCTGGACGACCCTGACGGATTGATCAAAAGTCCGTAAGGGATAAGTGGAAGGAACTTCGTCAACAGCTGAAGTGGCACTGGGACCAGAATGACTTTTGTTGGGTAAGTTGGTCTAATGTGACGCTGGTCCCACGGTAGACTGTGATGTTTTCTTCAGTGTGACATTAAAAATAAAAAATAAAAACCCTGTTAAAGCCAGAACAAACGCCAAGAGTGGACATCAAGGCACACCTTCGAGTCTTTTCCATCAGCAATAACAAATCAAGTTGTTTCTGCAGCAAAGTGTCTGTCGGCGCAGTCAGCCAATCACAGAGCAGACTCATTTTCCACCTGACAGGAAGCAGTAGTGCTGGTGGCCTTCCCCTCCTTGTTGAGTTTCAGGAAGCTGGGTTTCTCAATCACTACGGTAACAGCCCCTTCGCCGCTATTGGGATTTTCCAGCGATGGCAAAGTCCGTTTCTCTGAAGCTTTGGCTGATTCCCCGTCCCTGACAATTGAAATAAAATTTGTTAGGACTTCACAATGGGCTTAAAAACAGCTACAGATTAAGTAGGTCAAATGAAACAGTCTCAACGTTAAGCTAACTTAAAGCGCAGGTATGAGTACCATATTTAGGCCTTTATCTATAGAAGTTTCTTGTATGATGTCATGCACAAATTGCCTGAGAATTTGCTGCCACACTAGATGTGAGGTTGCTAGGAAGAAATGTGTTTTCCTCAACTGATGAGCAAGTGGTTGCTGTAGGTTGCTGGCTGCTGCTAGTTGAAACTGGTCCCAAAGTAGGTGCTACATCGAAAACTTCCTTGTAATGGCTTTAACTGTTGGCAGGCTGCAACAGTTAATAGTATTTTCCATGGAGCACAGCAATCCATCTGCAAATACTCACTAACAACTCACCATATGGTAGTAAACTTGAAAAGGTTCACTTTCAAAGTAAAAGTTGTGCATTAGCACTGCAGTCGTCACATTTTCATGGAGTAGTTGGAGTCTAGTTGGAGTAGGCCTGTGTGACTGGGACTATGTTTCACAGCAACTGTCATCAACCCTGAGCAGTTTTTTCCTAGCAACCTTTGATAGCCAGATGGTTGAGGACAGGTCCCTAAGTCTAGGTGACTGGTTCCTTACGTGGTTTAACCTACATTGTCCCACTTCCAAAATGGCAAACAAGTTAATGTCACGTTAGTGATCATCTGACTGCAAAACCTCAGTAGAGGCCTATTTCTTAGTTTGTGTGTGTATTGCTTTATGGCTAAGAACGTGTAGTTTTCTCACCCGTTGTTTGGAGTTGGATAAATAACCAGGAAGCAGGCAGTAAAGAATCCAAGGAGGGAGCCCCCAGAGGCCACCATGGGAATGACACGAACGCTGCCAACAGCTTCCACTACAGAACCCAGAGCTGAGGCCACCAATATCTGGCTGATGTACACCTGAAGAATCACAAAACAGTTTTCTCGATACAATATATGACATGAATGTAAGTGGCAGAACTAAATAACTTTATTCGACGCTCACCTGACAGGACAGGATGGCACAGTCGATGCCAAAGCCTCTGCGAGAGTTGCCAGGACTGTGCTGGATATACTGAAAAATGCAAAGAAAGTTATTAGTCCCAAAAGACATGATAATTATCTTCTAACAAAAAAAGTAGATTACTAGCTATTCTTTAACTATGCATTAATTCATATCTTTGTAGATTCATATCTATATTAGATCATTCAGCCTTTTTAATTGAATATATCTGTACCGCTTTCATTTCGTGATATTGTCCCAGTAGAGCATAAGGACAGTAGGAGATACTCATGGAGATGATGCCCATGCTGCTGATCATCACCATGGCCACGTACACATTAGGGAAAATTGCCATGACTGCAGTTCCTATGAAGGAAAACACAAAAAAGAGGGAGATTAGGGCACTACTGACTATCCAGTGTGCTTTTCTACTCTACTGTGGTCTATTAATGCAGTTCATACCTATGGAGAATCCAAGTGTACCCAGGATGTAGATAACCTTAATGCTCAAGTCAAAGTTGTCGAGATATTTTTGAAGAATAGCTAGAAAAGAGAGATTTGTGGGTTGTTTACTCAAATGATTAAAAGAAAATCCACTTTCTAACCAGGAAAACTGAATGATGTGAGCATGTGCTCTTGCGCATGGCTACCTGAACATGTAGCTGCAGTCATGGCATATATACCCAGGCCCCAGCATCCCATCTGAACTCCTTTGTGATAGTTATCCAATAAGGTCGAGTTAGAAGGAGCCTGTGAGACAGAAAACTGGGCTTAGTTACATCACTTTTTACGTAAGATGGAGACTGTTTTGCTCTTTTTTATCCTCCTGCAGCAAAATAAATGACAAAAATCAGAGAAATGAAAAGAAGCCTGTGCAAAGCATTTAAAAAAAGAAAAGAAAAACTGAAACAAGATTGATGTTTTTATGATTGTTTTTAGGGTAAATAATTTTTAAAAAAAAACACGATATATGTTGGTAAAGTAAAGTGAGGTGAAGTGAATGTATGTATATCTGTGCATTTTTGACTGTTTCTCATACTTTAGGATCTCCGTGGTAGATGACTTGTCCCATGAAGTCGGTGAAGAAGACCGCCTCTGCAATGATGGAGAACCAGGTGAGCAGGTGACAGGCACAAAGCCGCAGCAGCTCCTGGGGCATCTTTAGCATGGAGAGCCACAGCAGGCGCACGGTGGTCTCAACCTGAGGGGAGAAGATAAAACATCACACATTACGGTTACCAGCGAGGACAAACAATACAGACTCGTTAAGCATCACACCCCTCCATCCACACACCTCGCCCTCTTCACTCTCCGTGTCCCCGCTGGAGGAGTTGGTGTTCCCGCTGCGGTGTCTGTTCCTCTGCCTGTTCCTCCTCCTGTGCCTGGCCTCCACTTCGTACAGGTCATTCATGCTGCGGGACGGCTTGATGAGAAAAGCTGCATTGGCTCGGCGGTAGCGGTAACGATGATTACCCACGCGGCCGTAGTAAGAAAAAGTGCAGGACGGCTGGCGGTAGAAGGTGTGGCGGTGGCGTGACTGTCTCATAGGAGCTCCAGTACTGGCAGCTGGATGAAGAGAGAGTTTGTTAATGGGTTCATCTTTTAATAACTACTATAATAACACTGTAGGGAAATTATCCAGGTCTTTCATGCTAAAATTGAAAGAAACTGATTTAGCATTATTGTGCTATTTTTCTAAACTAAAGTTGTTTATATCAGAACAATTTCACATGACCAAATTTGACTTTCCCAGTATAACTAAATATGACTGGGTTAACATATATCAACAACATGGCTATAATAACGTAAAGATGCTGACCTTTGACCATTCCAGCACGGTGTGCCTGTCCTTTGGAGCTCAGCCTGTTAGTGCCAAGTCTGTCAGTATTAGTAACGCTGGCTAACAGCCGCCCGTTCAGCGTCCGCTGCTCGTTGAGTTGGTTGTTCAGCAGCGCCTCCTGCCCGTCGTCGTTTTCCATTTCTTGCAGGAAAGCTGAGAGGCGGGAAATCCTGGGGGTGGTAACATTCATTTGATTACTGCTGTTTTGGGGGCGGAGGAAGTCTTGACTTCCCGTGCTGCTGCTGCGTCTGATGCTGGCGAATCGGGGGGGTGGGGTGCTGCGATTGGGGTTGAAGAAGGAAGCGGTCGTGGAGGGTGAGCCGTGATAGGGCGAGAGGTGATCGGCGAAGATGGAAGGCTCTATGTGGCACAAGAACATCGCATCGTGGTCGAGGTGATCGAGGGTTGCGTCTGCCATGGCGAGGACGCTATCGCTTTTACCTGGAGAAAGAAGCGAGGGAGGTGATGCGATCAGTTTAGGTGTCAGAAATTTAGAGAAAAGCGAAAGAAACAGGGCAGTGAAAAAGGGATGAAGTTACAGCTGCCCTGTCATGACTGAAAAAAAAGAGAGAAAGAGCAATTAAGCATTCTTATAAGTGGAAATAAAAGTCTTTGTGACATATGGTCACACGGATCCTGAACTTCCTTTTGCTCTCTTTTTGCCTAGGAAACATAAAAACCAAACACCAAAAAAGTATACATATGTTGCTAACTTCGGGTTTATTTGGATTCCCTTGGCACAGTGACCATCTTTTTTTGATCATTTGAATTGAAAACCATTTAAAATAGATTTTGCTAATTTCAAAAAAAAAAAACCCAGAAGTTTCTGAACTTACTTCTCACAAGCTCCGCCTCTAGGAAGTCCATGTCTCCATGCTCTGACTGGTCATCTTCGTATGGGTCATAGAGGTCGTAGCTCTCTACCGTATCATCCTCACCGATCATTTCTAATTTGGCGCCGAGAAGTCCAGCCCTGCCATTGGCCGATGTTTGAAGGTGGGCAGGATCCAGACTTTCCTGTCGAGAGAGCAGTGAAAGGATGTTTTCTGTGAAGTCACTGAAAAAGTCTATTTCTACTAAAACTGAACTTCACGGTTCAGTACCTGCTCGAGCCTGTCGTGTTGTGGCGAGTACTGTTGCTCCTCGATACTTAAGAGATGCAGCACCACGGAGACAGAGAAGAGGATGGCTGCAAAGAAGAAGAGGATCTGCTCCTGCGACTTGAAGACTGCTCCGAGGAACGTGTGCGTCCAGTCCAAACCTCCAAGCGCGTAGCCGACTGCGCCGCCTAGACCTGCGGGCAAGAACACACACAACAAACACGCGAGAGGTGAATTCTGCTCTTTCGCAGTAATGGCGGAAAATATTTTATCGCTGTGTTTATCATCAGCTGTACCTGCAGAGGCGGCGTGGATATTCAGTGCCATGTCTTGCTCCTCTGTGTCTGCCACGTCTAACAGGTATGCTCTGATTGGTCCCTCTGTGGCATCCGCACAAAAGTCCAGCACCACCACACCCAGCACAGTAAGAACAATCCCTATTGGTTGTCTCCCCTGCTCATCACCGAGTGACAGACCTGTCAGAGAAACACAGAGATGATTTTCAGTGCTTATCTTACTTTAGGTTTAGAAATACAAAAATAAAAAGGCCAATAATTATCAAGAAGAAATGTGTAGCACAACGAAAAAAATAAATTAATTTATGCTGATGTAACCAAGCATGGTAAGAGCTAACAGCACATTACTGAATGACAATAGCAGCTATAGACACAAACAGGTCACTGCACATTTCCCATACTGCGTTGCATGTCGTGTGTGACCTTGTGTACCACATGACATTTGTGACCCGGTCTGCACCCCCCCCCAGCACCCCGAGGGCCTGAAGCTTTATAAATGTATGTGAACAACACAGTGTGCAGTGGGGTGTGTACTTTGAGTGTATTGTGTGTTGTCGAGGCAGTGTGACTAAGCATGACAAACTCAAATCCATTAACGTCAGGGAAATAGAAACATTCGTAGAAAGAACAGCGGCGTGTCAGTATGTGCGCTTGTGTACATGCGGGTGTTTTGTGTATTTGTGTGTATGCGTGTGTATAGGGGGTGGGGGGACAATGGAGCCACGGTACGCACTAGCAAGGCACCCAGACAGGAAGTGAACTGTGATTGGTAGAAAGGGGGAAGCAAACAGGAAGCATTTCCCTGTGAAATGCCTGCTCTTGTGTTCCCATGTCAGCACACACACTCACTTACAGCTACACACACACACACACACATTCATTCACAGGTTACTACAGCTTTCCCATGTCGTCCTGGCTCATTCACACACATTCGCCTATACTTACATGGAAACGCACACGTTCTCTTATTTATTCACTCATTTCTCTCAGACAGGTCACTGTTTGTTTCCCACGTTAACCCTCCCAGCAAAAACACACACACACACCTCCCTGTTGCCCTTAATTGACCCGGGTGCCACTGCAGAAGAATAGAGGCAGAACAGAATAGATGTGAGTAAAACTGAATAGAATTTGCTGACAGAAAACTGTTCACACACCTCTTGCTCTTATTTATAACTCCTTTGACATTTCATTTGGTTATATTTAGAGATGTGTACAGGCCCCGTACACTATTGTTCTGCATTAGGCACACATTTGATTATGGGTCACACTATTATATTATGGCTAAAGGAAAATCCTGAACTCTTGACCCCTATAGTGAGGTTTGCTATAACTGCTCTGTTGTTCTCTTCTCAGCTAATGCACACAGAAAATGTCTCATTAAGAAAAAAACCCCCCAAAAGGTACCTATCAGTGATCCATTCAGAAACAGAGCCACTCCAATCAGTGTTCCTATACAGAGAGCCAGGATGAACGGTCTCCTCCTGCCCCATCGCAGAGTGCAGCGGTCACTGGCCGAGCCGATCAGAGGAGTGAACAAGAGTCCAAGAACTGGACTGAGGAACCACGTCAGACTGTAGTACTGCTCTGGAAGACCTGCACAGCACAGACACAGAGACAGATGAGGTGTGAGCAGAGATAGAGACAGTGAGAGCTAACAGCAGGTGCGCAACACAGATGTGACTGTGCTTCCACCAGGGGGCGCAAGCTGCATTCAAACTGTTCAGGTTGAGAGAATTTCTGATTAGTATAAATATTAAATATTTTAAATTAAATATTAAATAAATATTTTATTCTTTTAATATAGAAATTAGGCAATTGCAAAATTTAAATTAGCCACAGGTGGCATAAACTGTGACACTAATATTAAACATAACTTTATTTATATGATTAGATACCCATAAAAAGACTGTTCAGCATCATTGCATACAGACATCCTTGGCTTACAATTATTTAGAAATATAATTTCATTCATCCAACAGCAGAAACGATTCTTTCAACAAAAGCAGCAATCAGCCAGCCTGCTGGTTAATGCTGCTCACTGTCATCATGATTAACATAATAATATCCTGCTTATCTTATATTAATTAACACATGTAATATTGCAATCGGGTAATAGGATTTTCAGTGACTCACTATGTGACAGCAGGTCGCAGTCACAGGTGAAGTGCACTGCCACATAAATTGGTTGTTTGTGCTGTTACTGCTGCTACCTAAGAGCTGACCTGAGGCTGACTTTTTCAACACCTTCTGTTAAAGCCTACACGAAGATAAAGAGGAGAAAGCCACAGCAACCGGCCCCGACGGCAGGATTTATCTCAGGTCTGCTGAGCTTCTGTGTGTTAACGTTCCCCCTGGATTATCGCACCAAGGAATTCGACAGAGACTCCGGTGCTCTTTTTAATGCAGAGAAAATGAGCGAAAATTGAGTGTGGAGGCTCAGTGATCAGGTTAGTCAGGCTTTTGTCAGTAATCGACACAAAGAAACTGCCCCGACAGTGACTCGCCTGTGTTAAACAATTCAATTATGAGCTCTCAAACGAAGGAAGGAAATCTCCTTTTTGTCGCTTCTTCCGAAAGCACAAGAGCACTTATGCATTTCTTATTAACTACTGCTTAAATAAACTCATAAACCTGAAAGCAGTAAATGGAAAGTATTACTTCTGACTAAATAGGAGCAAAGAAAGACAGGAAAACTTTTATTTTTCTATTCAACATTCATTTCCTGAATTAAATGGATTGAGCTCAGCATAACCCAGACTGTTATGTGACCGTGACCTTGTTACTGAGCGCACATTTAATTATCTTTATGCGCCGACTTTCCAGCGTCGGAAACCAGGTGAGGATTTCAAACACATCCGATGAATGATGGGGCCCCAAATTAGGATGGGCCAGTGGAAATAACTAAAGAGACACTTAGGATGCAGCAAACTAATGGAAACGCACACATGCTTTTGCTATCTCTCAATAATACCACTCAACACTGTGTAAACCCATCAAACACACCTGTCGCCAGCAAAAATAGCTCTTAACCCCTCTTAACCTGAAGTATGTACTTAATATTTTATAAACCTACCATAAATTCACTGTTGATTATCATCATCAAAGATTTAAAATACATTGAAACACATTATGAGATTAGCAGAGATAAGGTTACTGCAAAGTAAAACAGATTTCTGGTCCATTTAAAAGCCACCTGACATGACACAGTTCAGAAATGAACCACTTCTAGCTCCTTAACACAAATATCTAATTAGCCAGTCATGTGTCAGCATCTCAGTGCATTTAAGTGTTCAGACATTGGAAAGGTGACCTGCTTCCAGCAAGATGGCACACGAAATCACCTGGAACGGTTTTCTTGAACATGATAGATGGTTAACTACTAATGCAATTGAGCACTTTGGGATCTAGTGGAGCAGGAGAGGCACTTTGTTGAATCTGCCCCAGGAAGATATTTAAGGATGATCAGCCATCAGTCAGCCATTGGGATCCAGTGTTGGCTGTGTCCAAGCCAGCTGTTTACACCTGTATCTTATACAAACTGTTGCAAGCAAGAAGAAAATCATCGGGACTTTAGCAAAGCTGTGAGTCAAACCCAGAGGCAACAACTTCTCAATTCTAAGACAAGCTGTTTGCTTAGTCTTTGCTTCTACAAACCATCTGACTTCCCCCCACATGCTGCCTCTGCAGATTCAGCACTTCCTCCTTGAGGGCAGGTATCAAGTAGGATTTGTCAAGATACTCGGAAAGCCTTGCGTTTGACTTTTTGAAATGTGTTCTCAATCCACGGCATTTAGTGAAACCAGTCAGACTCACTGTTTTGCTAAACAGTGACACTAGACTGGGATCAGATGGAAAAAAATAAAGTTATCTGAGTGGAGTGATAGGATAAAAGGATAGCTGTAAACCAGAAAACTGGCATTACTTTTATTTGCTTCTAAGTCTGTGTATTCAGTCAGATAATTTAATTTTCCTAATTTGTTTCACTGATAAACAGAAAGTAAAATCGAGTTTCTTTGAGTCATCACGCCCATTTAGTTATCAATGCATTAGTGAGATGGGAAGCGGAGGAGGTGGAGGCAGGCAGCCCTTTAAGCTAAGTGAAGTCAGCTGAATTGCAAATAATTAAATCACAACTTTATCGTTGCCTCACTGGCAAACTATCGCTTGATGTGGCTCACTGAAAAATGAATGCCATTTGGCTGCCGCACAGAGACAAGGAGAGACGCTGAAACACTGAAAAGGTATGAGGCCATTCTCTGAACCCTGCTTAAAAACTGGGAAATTAACTTTCAAAGTATTCAAAAAGCACCACGCCTCTTTAATGTCAAAACGAGAGGGTTGACCACTATTTACTGAACCACACCAATCTAAAAGGCCAATTTGGGCAGAAGCCACCAGCAGCGTTGTGGATATAAACAATCAAGAGTAGCACATTGCTGTAACTAAATGGTCACAGCAATAAAACTCCTGGTCCCAAATTTAGTAGTCACATTACAGTTATCACTTTTATTTTAAGTCACTATGGCCTACAGCCAGTACTGCAGTTGGACCTTGTGTTTGCCGTTTCACATTTTCGTTCTTTCTTTCTACTGTCTGGCTTTGAGGTACGCTTTATTAAAGAGTAGAAAAAGAAAGATTTTGTGTATGCTTTATATGCATATGTATGTGTGGGTACATGTAAAGATTACACTGCAATGAATGTAAGAAATCACTCACAGGAGATACGTAACTGAACTAATGCATTACTTCATTAAAATTATAATGCTTAATACAGTGCAATAAATACCTACCTGTGTGCAGTGTGAAGAAGTGGCCAAAGTTTTTTCATTTTTATTTATTTTAGTTAATTCTGCAATAATTCACTTTAATAAGAAGAAAGACAGCAGAAATGCAGAACTGCTGATCAATACAAGCAAGATGGGAATGATAGTTAATTCCTCAGTGGGCCAACAGATGGAAGAAACTTGGAGAGAGCAAGTGAGTTGATGGCATCAAATCTAATTGAGAGAAGATTAAGACTTATCTTAATTTTTAAATGGACTTTCGATTTTCTCAAGGAGTCCTCTTTTAATAGATAGACGTCAATAACTGAGTGCCACCATATCTAATTAGCAAGAGCTGATCTAAAACCTCCCCAGAAGTCCACGAACAGACGGTAAACACCGAGGTCGCCATGTCAGGTGCAGGGTCAAGATCCTTTCACACAATCCTCATCAGTCCATAGAAGTCCAGGCGACAAATCTAATCTGACTCATTTCTTTCAAATAACCAGTGTTGATGTCCGATGTTGATGTGTAGAAATTCCTTGGAAATTTGTGGGAATGGAGCCATCATGTGAAAAACTGTCTGCTGCAATCATGGTAATTTTTATGTTTTCACTGCTGTTGATGAATCACATGTTTCTGTTTGGCAGGAATTGTGGTCTGACGATAGCCGTGCAGATCCGTGAAACAAACTCTGAAGCAGAAACAGCAACTTCAAGGTTAAACTGCGTTTTCTCATAGGAACACTGAGAGCTGGACAAGCAGCAGTGAGAAAAGTGAGACAGTCTCACATCCTTTTGCTTTTGCTAGATTGCTGCAAAGGACAAAACAGAGACTGCAATTCACACGGAGCAAATCTTTTCCATCGCTTTTCACTGCGAAGAAGCAGGAGGCAGAGGCAACTGAAGGTTGAACAAGAATAACAAGTCGGCCTACATTTACATTTGGAAACTTTTCATTAGCAGATCACGTGAACTCCAGGTGTCGAGACTTCATCCGCTATAGCGCTTAAACACATTGATCAGCAACATTGGCACTCACTCACAGCGGAGGCGTCGTCATGGACTCTGGATGAAGGCCGTTTAGCTTCGATCACACCGAAACTGATATCACTGTGACACATTTCTTTACTGTAACAGCTGCTCATGTGACTCACTTGAAGCAGAGTGCATTACATACTGCTGCTCAGGTTATCTCAGCATGCTGCCAAAGAAAAACAACAGGCTGGACTATGCAAATATAATTACCTATAGCCATAGCCATAGCTATAGCCTCAAAAAATGACTTATTAACTGTTACAACTAATGAAGGATATGAGTAATCAAAGGGATAGAAAAAAAACAGCCAACAAAGACCTCGCAGAAGCCTCTTCTTAAATGCTTTTTAACTGATAAATAATCTGGTTTGCAGATGCCAAAGAAGTCTGCGCTTATGCTTTAGTGAATGACATTCTAGTATTCTTTAAATACCTTACTAATCAACAGGTATTTGTGTCTGTGTGATATACCCTAGGCTTGCTAGCGTTACCCGATAAGCTAGTCCGTCACGTTGTCTCCGACGGTGTGGAAACTGCAACTTCAATCTGTGTCCACAAACCAGTGACATACATCTTTTATGGACTACAGCTCTGTCTGGCTAACAACCTAAACTCTAGAGATAATCAGCCTTATCTCATGAGAGATGATGAAAAGTTGTAAATCTTCACATTTTTTAAATGGTAGGCTATTCATTTTCAGCGTATCAACAAACAGATTTATCAACAAGTACATTTCTGCCCCACTCATCCAAACAGAGAGCTCATTGAGTCTTGAGGAGCACTGTGGTCAAGTC